TTGCCTATGGATGCCGATGACAAATATGGTCACACATTTTGGCAATCCAAATTGTCCTTGTTTTCTAGAATTTACTAATTTACCCTGAAAATCATTCCAATGTGAAACAAAATTAATGTTTTCCATGGCCATGGATAGATGGCAGGCTGAATGATAATTCAAAATATCAAGAAAAAAAAATTTATTCCCAATGACAAGAATGAAATTCAAAAAAAAAAAAAACTCGTGACACACACACACACACACACACGGAATTTGTCTGTCAAACATTACAATTCTCACTCTCACTCTCTCGCTTTCTCCCACAGTAGAACAACTTTTTTCGTCTAGTAACAAAAATAAAATTCCGAATTTTCAAAATTCTTTTCTTTTCATTTTCATTTTTTTTTCTGTTTTTTGTTTTTGTTCATCCACGTAAAACATCAAACAAACAAAACCCACAATGACACACACACACACACACACGATCAGTAACATAAATATCGTGCACTAATGAAAAATATGTGGGAGAGAAAAAAAAATTGAAATTCTTTCGTTCTTTCATTCAACCAAACAGAATCATCCATCTGTATTCATTCAAACCAAATCAATCAACCAAATTACCGGGTGATTGTTGTTGTTGTTGTTGTTGTCGATATACCGGTAATGTTGTTTTGCTAAAAATAACACCCAGAAAAACCTAATTATCATCATCATCATCATCAAACATGCATGCATGAATGTTTTTTTTCTCGTCGTCGTCGTCGTTGATGTCTGGATTCTATTTTTATTTCACATATTGATAACTGGTAACTTGTGAATTTCTGTTTCAAATCGATGAATGGATGGATGGAGAATTGAGAAAATTGAAAGATCCAACCATTTCATTTTTGATTCAATTGAATCGATAATTGGATTCTGTGGCTTTTTATTCTCTCTCTGTGTGTGTGTGTGTGTGTGTGTAAAATTGTTTAGAAAATCTCAAGTTTTTTGAAGAGAAATTTTCCCATTTCCATTGTCCATTGTCTTTTTTTCGTTATTGTGTGTGTGTGTGTTTTTGTAACGAATTTCGTGACAATGGCAACGAAAACCAAAACCGAACCAAATTCAATTTTGACAACCTTTTGTATTTTTGAAAAGTTTTTTTTTCTTGTTCGATTCGGTTTATTTATTCTTTTTTTTCTATTTCGTGATTCTTTGTTTTGCGTGGGTGTTTTTTTTTTCGTTTTTCGTTTTTTTTTTTGCACAAAAGATGTTTCAATTTTTTTCTCTCTTTTGTCTTCTTTTTCTGTCTGATTCGATTTGATTCGCCAACATTCTTTTTATCGACATCGGTTGGATCGATCCAATTTTATATATATATAATGTGAATCAGGCGCCGATTAGAAATCGAAAATGGCCTTGTAAAATGGTAGTTTCGAATTCGATTCGTTTCGATTTGATTCTGCGCATCAATCATCACCATTGTTGTAATCATCATCATCATCATCATTAGTATTTGATACAATATTCTTGATTCTGTTGTCGAAATCATTGGTCGATGGATCAATGGATTGACAATGATTTCGTGTGTGTGTGTGATATATCGCATCTGATACAAATGCTCGTATCGAAAACCCGGTTACACAAAAATCAAAACCAGACAATGAAATCAAATCTAATTATCAATTATAACAAAAAAAAAAAAAACCGATTGATTGCCGTCCATCAATTTCAATTACAAATCACAAAATGTCGACAGAAATTTTTTTAAAATAAAAATTTTCGTGTAGAAAAAAAAAATGTAGTCTCTCTATACGAACGTGATAGAATTCCATTTGACACACACACACATGTGTGTGGCCCTTGAGCAAATTCTTTTTTGACGTTGTTGTTTCATTCGTTTGCACAAAACATGTGACGTCATAAGACCCTTTTTAACGACAACAAAGAATAAAGAATAAAGAACATTAACACTCAACGTGTGTGTGTGTGTGTGTATATAATACGATTTTGTCTAGTGATTTCAACACTTGAGATTATTATTACACAAACACACACATAATAGTAGTCATTGTGATGAATGATGAATTCAATTTATCGATTTATACAATTTGGTGATTGGTTATTATATATACATATAAATAATTAAACTGTTTGAACTTTTTTTTTCTCCACATAAAAATAATATAATCGACATTGAAAGTGTTGATCATTTATTCATTTCGTTTCATTTTGATGATCAAAAAAAAAAAAAATGAAGATGATGATGATGTTTTTCTGGTGAATTTTTCTTCTGATCACGAAAATAAATTTTGAACTTGAAATTTGGAAATTATTATTCCAATGAGAAAAAGAATTTCAAGGTCATACTCTCTAGGGCCGTTATGTGATTGTTGGCGGTTTTCAACAACAATTATCGATTAGTTAGTTAGATTCTCTGATAGTTTCATTTTTTTTTTGTTTCTTCATTCTTTAGAATTGAAAATTATCCAAAAATGATATAATACTAGAGAGAAAAAAAAACTTTGCCATTTACTGTCGAAATAGTGATCAATTCTAGTTTTTTTTAGGGTTAATTGTGATTATGTAATATCATAATATCACACATTCTGTGTACAACGAACAATTTATAAATTATTTGGCTAATTTAGTTCGAATAGAATTCCCTTTTTTTCATGAATGAGAAAAAAAAAATTTTTTTCTTTATATTTCAAATTCTGGTTTTCCGGTGGCAAAACAAAAATAGGAATCGACTATGAATATGATGATTATTGACCTTGATAATGATGGTGTAATAATGTTTACCAAAATGTCAAGGTCAATTTTTTTTTTGTTTTTGTTATTGTGCAATACACTCAAATATTGAGTATACAAGAGTGGTGGTGGTGGTGGTGGTGGATTTATGGATGTGAAATTCAATTCAATACAATTCATTCCGTTTGGTCGATGGATCGATCGATATAATAATTGGTATTATATGTGCGTGAAAAAAAAAACAATAATTTCATAATCAAACACATAGACATAGACGAAGGGTATCAAACAATTGTGATCGATATATATGTATGTAGTGTGTATAGACTGTCCACAACACTACCACCCACACACATTAACAAACATTATTATTGACCTTGACATTGTTTGTTTGTCTATAGATGTATGTATACGTATTGTGACTGAACAATGTTGTCATTCCGTTCACATAGAATATTTTCTATATAATCCAACACACACACACATCATGTGATGCGGCCATACCCGGCATTTATTTTTATTTTATTTTTTTTCACTTCTTAGTCTCGTCGTCGTTTTTCCATTCTATATACTTTCACATGTACATGTACATCATTCACCGAAAGATTTATCATCATCATCATCATCATGATCGATTCGGGTGGATGATGATGTTGGGCAAGTGTTTGAGTATGGCTGTGTGGTTGGAACAACATCGAAAAAAATTAAGGCAATAATCACCATACATATGATGTAATGATGTGGTTATATGATGAGAAAGATGGTTTTGTTTTCTTCATATATTCACAGAATCGCCAAAAAAAAATTAACAGAATAAAAGAATTTCAACAATCTAAATTCTGATTCTTTTTTTCACTAGTCATCATCATCATGTTTCATTCATCATCTTTGTTGTTGTTATTTTGCTTTTTCATTCATTCATTCATTCATTCATCGATGATGATGATGAATGTAGAGGTAGTAGAATCTAGAATCTAGAATGTGAAATTACAAAAACAAATCTTTTTTTTGCGAATCAAGCGCATCAAGCAAAATTCTGTGTTTGTTTGGGAAGTGAAAACCAGAAAAAATAATTCTTCACCATTCATTCAGTGTTTTGGGCACCATTGGCCAAGTCTACATATTGATCCACACATATATGGAGTGAGAAATCATCATTATTGCAATTGGAAAAAATTCCATTTCCATCATTCATCATCATCATTGTTGTTGTTGTTTTTGTTCCAAAACAATTATCATCATCATCTGCTGCTGCTGCTGGTACTGTTAAATGTCACCATCATAGAAAAACAAAAATGTGTATGTGTGTGTCCAGTTGATTTCTTTGTTCAATTTTTCCAAAATTTCCAAATGAAAAAAAACTTATCGTCATCTACATATATATATATATTGTGTGTGTATCAAGTTTATTTTTTCGTGTAAGTTTCATTCATCATTCAGTTTGAGCAAAAAAAAATGTGTCCAATTAAAAAGTTTCCTGTTCATAATTGGTTTATCAAAAATTTTTTTTTTTTAAAATGAATTTTGTTTCATCGACATTTGATATTCATGAATGAGACCATTTTTCCGAGAAAAAAAAATGAATAATAATCAATAATAGATAAGTGTGTCATTGTGTCCATTATATGATGGATCGTTTTGTTTTGTTTCATTTTTGTTGTTGTTGTTGTTTACGTTGTTGTTGGTGTTGATTCAAGTGTTCGATTTCAGAATAATCATATCGATTTTTGCATTCTGATCATCATGGTATTTGTTTCGTGTTTATCTGTATCTCTCTCTCAGCGTGTGTGTCTCATTCTTGTCCATTATTCCAAGCATTTTAGGTACACAATATCGGATTATATCCATAGGATACATACACACATATAGAGAGATTATTTCACAGGTAAATAAACACGAATCTCATTATTTTTTTCGGATGATTTTGCTTTGGATGTTTTTTTTTCATGTGATTGTGTTTTGTTTGTTTTTGTGTGTGTGTGTGTGTGTTTGAATACATGTGATCGATTGAAACTATGGTGAAATGAGAAAAAAAAAGATGATTGATGAGAAATTTGAAAATATTCAAATCAAATTGATTGATTGTTGATCATTATTATTATTTGTTTTTTGTTTTGTTTTCTTACCAGTAGATAGTAGTAGATACTTACAATAAATGGCAATATGGATAATCCAACCATTGTAATTGATGATAATAATAATAATAATGGTCATCACGTGATTGGAGATGATAATGATAATCATCACCATAATAATAATCAAACAATCGATTTAAATATCGATCATATCGATATCGATGATGATGAAGATGATAATGTTGATGACAATGATGACGATGATGATGATGACGATGAAAGAAAAGCAGAAACAATACAATTACGTCCATATTATGATTGGAGGGTATGTATTTTTGTTTTTTTGTTTTTGTTTTTTTTCCTCACTTGAACTTTCAATTTTCAGTTTGATCCACAAAAATCTGTCCAACAAAATGATAATACATTGATGATGATGATGGGTACGGAATTTCCACGTGTAAGCTCACAAGTGCCTCTATCACCAAAAGATGGTTATGATATTTCATTTGGTTATGATCTTGAAATTGAAAATGATGAAGAAGATGATCCAGATGATGATGATGATGAAGATGACGATGATGAACGTACAATGAAACATCGGCAAGCACCATATCCACCAGCGAAACGTGTACCAAAAAAGAAAAAATCATCATCATTAAAGGATCGTGGTACATGGCAAGGTCGTTTTGATTTTATTCTTTCATTAATTGGTTATTCTGTTGGTCTTGGTAATGTTTGGAGGTATCGTATATAATCATTTCCGTTAGAATCATTAACCATCATTCATTGTTGTTGTTGTTGTTGCAAATCAGGTTTCCATATCTTGTTTATTCAAATGGTGGTGGTGCATTTCTTATACCATTCATCGTTATGATGTTATTGGTTGGTTTTCCATTAATGTTTATGGAATTAGCATTTGGCCAATATGCAAGTCTAAGTCCAGTAGTTATTTATAAACATTTTTCACCATTATTTGCCGGTCTTGGCTATGGAATGATTGCCGTTTCCGGTGTCGTAATGTTATATTATAATATGATTATAGCATGGACATTATATTATATGTATGCATCATTGAAACCAGAATTACCGTGGTCCCGTTGTGATCCATTATGGAGTACGGATCTTTGTTATTCATATAAAGAAAAAGATGATTGTATAGCTAATGATCCAAATGCAATCTATTACAATCGTACTTGTTTCAATCATACGGATGTACAACGTTTGAATCTAACAACCAATCTGGTGGTATCACAAATATCGCCAATATTGGAGAAAAAAGCACCAGCAGATGAATATTTCAATAATTATGTATTGGGCAATATTGAAACCATTGATGAAACGGGCAATATACAATTTCATCTGCTCATCTCATTATTGATTGCATGGATCATGGTTTTCTTATGTCTAAGTAAAGGCGTACAATCATCGGGCAAAGTCGTTTATTTTACGGCACTGTTTCCATATTTAGTACTCGTGATATTATTTATACGTGGAATAACATTACCCGGAGCAATGCAAGGTATTGCATTCTATGTGAAACCAGATTTTAGCCATTTATTCGCTGCACATGTTTGGGGTGATGCTGCTGTACAAGTGTTTTTTGCTCTATCACCTGCTTGGGGTGGCCTAATTACGTTGGCATCATATAATAAATTCACCAATAATTGTTATCGTGATTCAATATTGGTATTGTTTGCCAATGCTGGCACCAGTATTTTCAGTGGTTTTGTCGTATTCTCAATTATTGGTTATTTGGCCCACGAAATGGATGTTGCCGTCGATGAGGTGGTTGATCAAGGCGTAGGCCTAGCATTTATTGTTTATCCAGAAGTAGTGGCCCGGCTACCAATATCACCATTTTGGTCATTTTTATTCTTTTTTATGCTCATTACGTTGGGTTTGGATTCTCAATTTGCATTGCTCGAAACCGTACAAACAGCTGTATTGGATCGTTTTCCGGCTCTTCGTGATCATAAAATGGTCATTCTTTTATTGGTATCAACATTAGGTTATGCTGGCGGCATTATATTCACCACACAAAGTGGTGTATTATGGCTTGGCCTATTTGATCATTATGCAGCAAATTTTTCTGTATTAATCATTGCCATCACTGAATGTTTATTGATTGCTTGGTATTATGGTACGGAAAGATTTTTACGTGATATCGAAAAAATGATTGGACAAAGATCTCTACGTTGGAAACGATTGTGGTCAATTATGTGGAAATATATCACACCATCAATTTTAATGGTGAGCATTAGGTTTTTGTTTTTGTATTCACTCTAAAAAAAATTGAATTTTTTTTCCACTCAAAAATCTAGTTTCTATTGATATTCAATTGGATTAAACATGAACCACCAAAAAGTGGTGATTACATCTATCCAGAATGGTCAAATATTTTTGGCTGGATTTTGGCATTTATTCCCACAATTATTATCATTGCAACAATGTTGCATACATATTTCACATATGATGGTGGTAAAAATAAATCCATAGCTCAGGTAATAAGAGCATGATGATTTGATTTTTGACAAAAATTTGATTTTTTTTGTTTGTTTTCTAAAAATTTAGAAAATCAATACTTTGATGCAACCATCCGAAAATTGGGGACCAACACATAAAAATATTGAAAAATTACAAAGACGTAAATCATCACGTTTAGCAATGATGGCCCCGGAACAATCACAATCACAACAACAACAACAACAACAATCATCATCTATATCGGAAACGACGAATGGTACGTATAGCCACCGATCGGTAATGCCATTAACAATGAATGGTGGACCATTACCACAACAAACAACAGCCACTACTATTAAAACAAATGGAAATATTGTTGATCAACAACAGGAAAAATTACGTCCATTGAAATTGAAACAAACCGTATCCGATCCGACAAATAAACGTAATTATAATCAACCACCATCATCATCATCAACATCATCGATTTTACAGCCACAGAATTCATTCGATAATCCGTCATTTAATGTTCAATTTCCGGCAATTAAATTGCAACAGCCACCAACAAAATCATCAAAATCAGAGTCGGCTAATCGAACACCAAGAATTTAATTAATAAAACAGTAAACAGCAGATGAAATTATTTCATCAACAAAAAAAAAACAGAATAAAAAATATCTACCTCTTAGTGATTCTAACACACACACTACATTTACGAATTAGAATTTAGAAGACGAAACCAGAATGTTTTTATCGATTCCAAATAATGACGAGATAGCCCATCAGTTAAATCAAACCATAAATTATTATCGTTGACCAAAAACAAATCTTTAATTAAAAAGGGCGACAAAGAAAATTATCTATTTCATTATCATCATCATCATCATCATCATATTTTGTCCATCATTATCGTAAAAAAAATATATATTAATCAATCCAATCAATCAAACAATCATCCATTTATCAGAAATTTTATTTTTTAGCCACATTCATATAAACATCATCATCATGGTTGTCGCTTCAAATATTTATATTCATGTTGTAATAATAATTTATTAATTATTAATTGGTACATATTTGTGATATTTGTAATTGAGATTTTACGATATTAATTTCAAAAAAATCATCATTATTTAATTTAATATAATTATTAATAAAAACAAAAATGTCAAGCCCGAAATTAATAATTAATCGATCCATAATTGAATATTATCAAATAAATATCGTATAAATTGTTCATCATTCATTTTCGTTATAGCCAATGGTGATAATCGAATCGATTTCAATCGATAATGATCATTAAATGCGGAAGAAATGTTGTCCGAAATTGTTGCAGAATAATTCCAATAGAAATAATTATGTGAAATATTTCCTGTATGATATGCTGGACCAATAAACATTGATCCATTCTGTTGAGCTGATGATGATGATGATGATGTTGACCAACGATGATGACCAACGGTGAACATTAGATAATAGAATCCAATTATCAATATAATCAATATAATGTGTTTGATGAATGGCCAAAAATCATCGTAATCATTATTGGATGATTCGTTTATCTTTTTTGTTCCATTTCGTTTTGTACCATCTAGTATGGAAAGTTTTTCAACAATTTTATCTACAAATTTATCAGCCAATAATGATAGATTCAATAATTTCGGTGTCGATGATGAAATACGTTGACGACATTTATCCATAAAATTATTTGTTTGAATAGATAAACCATTATTATCATCTTGATGGCCATTTTGATGATAATAATGGTGATGATGATGATGATGATAAGATTGATCCATATGAACGATCCAAGACATTTTTCCGAGAACAACAATAATCGATTTGATGGACGAAAACAAACACAAAAACAAAAAAAATGAGCAGCAACAAGGAGCAACAAAGGAACTGATTCAGATCAGAACTGGTTGAAAATGATCAATTTGAACTTGAACAACAAGTTGAAAATCTTTGCATTTAGGTGATAGATGGCGATGGAATCGAATTTTTTTTTACAAAAGATTATCGTTTTTAAATAACGTTTTTATTTTATTATCATTATAATATAAATGAAATTCAAAAAAAAACAAACAAACAAAATTCCAACCAAATGTGAAAGAATTCAAAAAAAAAAACAAAAAACATTGATAAAAAATCAACAAAAATAAAAGATTCCAAAAAAACAAAAATTACAGCGAAAAAAAATTACATCTGTGGTGTCAACAGTGGTAGTTATTACAGGTTTGTTTGTTGATGATGGTCGAATAAAAAAAAAATATGTGACAATACAATCGATATATCGAAAGAAAAATACAATTCGAATGTTTATCGCCAAATGTTTTGTGAAAAGAAACAAAAAAAAATTCTATCATCATTCTATTTATCGAATATCGATCAAATCAAAAATTCTAACGCGTCCTACACATCTAAACTATTTAAACATTGAAAAAACTATCATCATATCGATAATAATTTACGAGATTCTCTACATACTAACTAAAGCAACGATGTTGGTTTTGGTTTTTTATTCGAGCCCCTATGTGTGTATGTTCCAAAATTTGGTGAATGGAATGTTTAGCTCGAAAAAAGTCCGTGTTAGTGTTTGTGTTTTGAAGACTAAGCAAAAAAGAAATCTAGATTTCTAGATGTCTATGTGTATGTGTGTGTGTACGTGTACGTGTCATCATAAAATCATCTGAATTTTGTTCGGGAAATGGCAAAAGTAAGTTTTATTTTGTTTTTGATGTAAATCACATGGTTATTTCCAAACCGGAAATGACACGAGCACCCAATGATATTGTGGCACCTTTTTGATTATTATTATTATTATGACCATTTGAATGAGACCATTTTATTGGATCAACTGAACGTATTGTACGACGTGTTCTTCGTATACGTTGTGGTTGAAAATTTGAATATGCATAGAATGACCGTAATGCATCCATTTCATATGGTGAATCATCAACAATACCATAATAATATGGTGATTGTCGCCTGTTTGCTATTAATGATGATGTTTGCCGTGGAGATCCATTCATCATCATTGATGATTGATTTTGATTATTATCATTCATTTCAATTTGTTCAGCAGAATTATGACGTGTATTACGTTTAAGATTACCGGATTTTGTATCCACACTTGCTTTTTGATTCGATGATTTAATTTTAGACATTTTTTTCATTGGTTTTGGCGGAAGTGTCGTAGTTGAAGTGGTTGTCGTAGTAGTAGTAGTAGTAGTGGTTTTGGATTTTTGTCGTTTAGATTTCAATTTTTTGGCTGCATTTGCAGCGGCCGTTATTTTCGATAATTTATTTTTGTTCTGGTTGCTGGTGTTGCTAGAATTTGCCAATTCTTTCAATGGTCTTAAAGTTGTTGTGGACATATGATTGGCCATCATCATTGATTGTGGATGTTGTTGCGGTTGCGATGGTAGTATATCCTTTAATCTTGTGGCTTTACTTATCTTTTTGTTTCCGGATGCAGCCGTTTTTGGTGATTGTTGTTGTTGTTGTAATTTAGTCGACGATGATCGTATTTCATCCACAGAATTTTCCGATGTATCCATTATTTGTGCACGACGTTGTGCATTGTTTAATGATTTTTGTGTCGACGATTTTCGTTGTGATGCTTCTTTTGGTTTTTTCGATGATTTACGTATTTTACTAATTGGTTTAGCTGTTGTTGTTGTTGTTGTTGTTGAAGTGGTGGTAGTTGTCGTCGATGTGGTTGTTGGTTTGGTTTTTGATTTTGATTTTGATTTATTTGTTGATTTTGATGCTGTTACAACATTGGAAATCTTTTTCCTTGCTACTGTTGTTGTTGTTGTTGTTGGTGCTGCTTGTAATCGAGCTTTTTTCTTTTCATCTTCCTCTTCTTCATCTTCAGTACCATTTTCCGTTTCATCTTGTTCTTCATCATCACTAGTAGTTTCATTTTCACTTTCATCTTCCCAGAAGCTTGTTGTTCTTCTTCACCATCTTCACTACCGGCCGTACCAGTTGGTTCTATTTCTTGTTCAGATTTATTCTCATCTTCACCTAAATCAGCTGTTTCATCATCATTGGCTGTGGTTTCTTCTTCCGTCGATGCTGGTTCACCGGAACTATCCGTTTCTTCTTTAGCCGGTGTTTCATCTTCAGCCGTAGTTTCTGTTTCTTCATCAGTACCAGTTTGTTCATTTTCCTCATCATCAGCTGCCATTTCTTCACTTGCTTCTTCTTTTTCATCTTCTTCTGCAGCCGGTTCAGCTTCTTCACCACCTTCTTCGGCTGTTGATTCTTCTTCTTCATCACCATCTTTTTCCGATGTTTCTTCTTCAGCTGGTGTTTCTTCTGAAGCAGTCATTTTTGATGATTCATCATCACCACCTTCATCTGCGGTGGTTTCTTTTTCTTCATCATCACCATCATCTTCTGTTTTAGATTCTTCATCACCATTATCCGATGATGATTCTTCTTCATCAGCGGTTGTCTCTTCACCTTCATCGCCACCTTCTTTTTCATCCGTTGTTTTTTCTTCTTCACCATCTTCAGCATCACCTTCTTCTGCGGTGGCAGTATCAGTATCTTTATCTTCATCGGTTTCACCAGCATCAGTACCGCCATTTTCATCTTTAGTATCAGTTGTAGTAGCCGTATTGGTGGAACCATCGTCCACAGTGGTTTTAGTCCATGCACCAACACTTGTTGGCTCAGGCATTTCCGATGAACAACGTGATGAACATTTTTCACGACATAATTCAATATTACATGTCAATTGTAGATCGGGACGATCCGGAAATTTAAATGCCTAGTGGATATGCAAAAATAAATAATAAAAATCCGATATGAAAAAAAAATTCCAAACATACCGTAACCGTTGTAAATGCAATGACCGTTGCACCCGTATCACCAGTGTCCAGTGTTCGTTTCCATACTTCAATCAATTTTGGTCGATTTGGACAGCCATCAAAATCTGTCAATTGCAATAATGCTGGTCCATTACTTTCAGCAACTTTTGGATCATCATATGCTATAAACGTGTGTATGAATGAGTTGAATTCATTAAAACAAAATCAAATTCCATACCATAACAATCTTTAACACGAATATCGGTACGTTTACGTGGATCTTTAACAAAAATGGCCAATGTTAATGGTGAACCAACTTTTACTGCACCTTCAATATCCATTGTATGTGGGAAACGTCCTTTCGATATTTCCATCCAACAATCTACACGTGATTGTGTACCATCTTCATCTTCGATCGGTATCTACGGTCAATAGTGAATAGATTAATATTAATTTTTCCGATTAAAAAACAAAATCAATCAATCGATACAAACAAATAAAAAATATTACTTATCAATCAATTATACTTACGCTTACAACGTCCAACATATCGATAATAATCGGCTTAAAGATGACACGTTTATCTTTTGAATCAAAATCATCATCCATCGAATAACGGCATACCATCATACGTGCATGATCCCATTGTTCTTGATAGATTGGATCATTTTGAAACACGACAATATTTTCGAATCCACGTTTTGCTGGTTCACCATTTTCTGATTCAATATCCAATGTATTCGTTCCACATTGATCCACTGGTATTTGAAATTCCAATGATTGTGTACTCGTATTTGGTTGTATGTAGCTATTGATATATATTTTTTTTTCATCATGATGAGAAAAAAAATGTGCGTGCAAGAAACCGAAAGAAATGCGCGTTTGTGCGTTTTACAATAACGGTGATGAATTGTTTTTTTACAATTTTTTGAATTAAAGTGCGAAAAAAAATGAAGAAACAGATGATTTGATATGAGGGGGTCGTACAAATAACACATAAACATATACAAAACAACAACAATAGCCAAGGGGTTACCATTATCCGATTTGGGATTAGATTACAAAGAGAAAAAAATTGATTCCATTTGAAAAAAAAGTTAGGATTTTTTCCAGTTTCATTACGTTTTTTTTTGTTTTGTTTTGTTTGGAAAATTTTCAATAAAGGAGAATTGGGATTTTGTATGAATAAGGGTAAGGTAAGGTTAATGAGTTATCATTGGGTGATTTGGAAAGAATGAGAAAAAAAAATTTTGGGTTAGTAGTAGATTCTTTGACATTTTCTTAATTCTGAGTAAGAGAGAGAGAAAGAGAATGATAAATTTGAATTTTAGAAATGAAAAATTTTAGAAATTTTTGAATTTTTTTTTGTAAAAAAATTTTATTCAATTTTTTTTTAAATTTTACGAAAAAAAAATATATCATCATCATCAATTAACTGAGTGAGTAGAAATAGAAAAATTTTTCTGTCTGTATGTGTAAATATCGATCATGTTCATCACCAATTTTTTTTTTTTTTTTTTAGAGAGAAGCAAAAAAACTAAACGCAAATTCATCATTTTGGCCACTACTGTCGAAATAGCAACAACATCAACAACAACAACAAAAAGACCTAAAAAACTAAAATGACTAATGCTTTTCGAGCGCAGCGAACAAGCAAATTTTTTTGCAGATGAAAAAAAAATGAAAAATTTTCTGTGTTCTAAAAAAATCTATCAGGTGTGAATTATATTGATTTGGTTAAAAAAAAAAATTTTTTTTTGTCAAATTTTAGTGATAATTTTTAAGAATTTTTTGTGTCCGTTTTTTAGGCATATGAAAAATAGGAAATTTTTTCCTTCGTTGTTGTTGTTGTTCCAATTTTATCATTGACCAATTGTTGCCGTTGATGGATATATGAACAAATCATATAAAGAATCATTGATAATATGACCGTAACCGATGATAGCAACAAAGATGCTGTAATCAAATGTATACGTGAAAAACAATATGAATGATGGCCATTCAATTCGGCCAACGATGTTTGTCGATGTTGACCGGTAATGGATGCTGTTGCAATTGTGAATGATGGTATACGATGAATTTCATCATCATCATCATTATTATTATTATTATTATCGACTACTTCTTCTTCAACACTACCTTCAAGTTGCATCAGTTTTTCCCATGCATTCAATTCTTTTTCATCAAAATCTTCGATTGGTGATATAATCTGTATTGAATGTATCATTGGTGCAAACGTAGCATTCATAATGGACGTATCATTTATCAATACAGATCTTCGTGTACGAACATGACGACCTTCTTGTACGATACCGGCATTTGGATGCTGTAATGTAGCCGACAATCGTCGTAATTCAATTGGAATAGCCGTTGGTGATGATGCTTGTCTAATTTGTCGCATTGGACGAATCAATTTAGCAGATGACGATGACGATGGACGACGAATTTTAGCAGTTCGATTGGCAGGCAATGATGCTTTACGGGCTTTTAATTGACCGGCTTTTTTATTGACAATAGGTCGTGAAACTTTACCTTTGGTTTTATTGGATTTTCGTACTAATCGAGCCGATGAAGATGATCTAGAAGATTTTGAAGCCGATTTTTTAACCAATTTAGCTGCTGTTGGCTTTTTACCATTTGTGGTGGTAGTGGTTGTTGTTGATTTTTTCTTGACAATTTTTTTCGCTGATGACGTTGCTGTTGTTGTTGTTGATTGTTTTCGTAATGCAGCCAATGGTTTTTTGGCTAAAGATTTTTGAGGTTTTCGCACTAATTTCGATGAAGTAGAAGCAGTTGCTGTTACTTTTGGTTTTTTACCAGTCGAAGATGGTTTAGAAGCTACTGATTTAGCTAATTTTTTGACTTTTCCAGATTTTTTAGCTGATTTCAATACTTTTGATGATTCTAAGAATTGAACGAAGAAAAAAAATTAGTTTTCAATCATAAAAGACTTGATTTCATTTTAAACTTACTTTTAGCTTTCAATTTCAATGATGCCGAAATTCGTCGTTTTTTTCTTTCTTCTTCCGTTTCATCGTCATCACTATCACCATTAGTGATTTCAGCTTCATCACCTTCTTTTATTTGTTCATCTTCATTATTACGTCCTTTTTTACCGGCAACTGCTGTTGATGATAATGAAGTGTCACCATTTGTGGTTTCTTCTCCATCATCGCCAGTTACATCTTCAGATTTTTCTTCACTTACAATTTGTTCTTCAGCATCATCATCAGCAGCTTTAGTTTCTTCATCATCGGTAGTGGTTTTTTCTTCTTCTTCATCACCACCACCATCACCGCCAGTAGATTCTTCACTGTCACCAGCATCAGTACCATTACTATCTTCGCTTTTTTCTTCATCTTCATCATCACCAGTAGTAACAGTACTTTCCTCATCACTATCGGGAGTAGTTTCCTCTTTTTTCTCTTCACTATCATCAGAAGTGGTTGATTCTTCATCACCACCATTACCACCATTGGTATCGGAATCTGATTCACCACTTGAAACTGAATCTTCAGATTTTTCATCGTCTTCATCACCGGTTGATGATTCAGAATCGGGTTTTTCTTCGTCATCATCACCACCACCACCACCATCATTACCATTACTTTCTTCATCAACATCTTTTCCATTTTCACTATCACCACCACCGATTTCTTCTTCCTCCTCATCATCACCACCTTTGTCTGTATCCTCCGGAGTAGTTTCTTCTTCATCACCACCATCTGAAGGGGTTTCCTCTTTTTTCTCTTCATCTTCTGTTGCACTGTCACCATCATCACCATCCTCAGCTGGTGATTCTGTACTAGTAGTAGCTTCATCAGTACTAGTTGTATCAACAGTTGCAAGTTCGGTACCACCATCATCAGAAGAAGCCATATCGTCGGAAGCAACGGAATCTTGACCAGCAACATCAACAATTGGTTGGCAAACATTTTCCATACAGCCACCTTTACAAACTTCAACATTACATGCCAGGAATACATCCATTTTTTCCGGAAATTTAAATGCATTTATAATACCATAGGCGATGATCGTAGCGCCAGAATTACGTACATCACGTGTACGGAAAAAACCTTGCACCAATTTTTCTTTCAATGGACAACCATTTTCATCGGTCAATTTGATGGCATGTGCATTTGGATTACGATAATCAGGTGTATCATATGCATAACAATCTTTCACATGAACATCGAATGATTTATCTGAATCACGTACATAAATCACAACGGTAAGTTTTTCACCGATCGGCACAACACCACCAATTGTTGGTGCAAATGGGCCATGACCACGTTGTATGTCCATCCAACAATCAACAGTATCACCGGGGAAACGTAATTCTTTTACACCAAGCATATCGACACCAAACGGAGCAAATGTTACAGTCTTTTCTAGCCGAGTAACCCAATCACAACTTAATCTTCGTGCTGAATCCCATACTTCTTGATAATCAGGATCATTCTGTATGATGATAACATTTTTAAAACCTTGTGGTATTTGATCGTTACCACCTTTTGTTGTCGCTATCAATTCATTTGCCATTGTACCACATGATGATGATGATACGGAAAATTCATAAATATTTTGGCCACCAGCAGCATTCACATAACTTTTATTTTTTCATTTTTTTTTTTAGTTTTAAAATTTAAATTTTCATTTTTCATTGTGATTTTTTTTTTTTTGGAGTATAAAAACGTTTTCCAATTGATGAGGCGTGTCCGTTTTTGTTTTGAGAGAAGAAGAAGAAGAAGAAGAAAAAAGATAGAAATCAACATCAACATCATCATCAATTGATTGAGATTTTTTTTTTTAGTTTGGTGTAATAGTTTTTGTTTTAGGTTATTTTTAGATTTTATTTATTTCTTTTTGATTGATTTAGAATTGGTTTTTTTTTTGTTTTGTTTAGTAAATTTTAGTTTTAGAATCTATGTATATCGGTGTTTTTGTGCTTGTGTGTATGTGATACATTCATTCAATGGCAATGACAACAACAATCTCCTACCTGGTTTTTTTTTTTTTTTTTTTTGATTTTGCATCATTCAGGTTACTAGGCATTCTGTCTTACTGTAATATATTAGTAATTGAACAAACAAACGAAATAAAAAAAAAATCTTGCATTTTAACACATTCCACATAAGAATCAGAATATATTTTTTTTTCATTCCAGAATTCTTGGAAAATTTCCATATTTTCGTTTATGGATAGTGAAAGTCAACAAACAAAACAAAAAAAAATTTTTTAGTCATGATTAGTAAGTTTAACATTCGATAGATGGCAGTCAATAGGGGAGTGCATGCAATTTTTTTTTTTAGTCACCAGGAAATGAATAGAAAAGAAAAGCATCCAACAAGCAAACCAAAATAAACAACCAGACACACCCACACCACAGTAATTAAATGAATGAATGGATGAATGAAAAACTTACCGGCAATTTGGATCACTAAAATGTCCTTTTGAAAATATGATACCATTGAATGTATTATCGAATTCGACCATCACTTTCATACCGCTACGATCACATTGTACATTAAGACGTGTAATCTGTGGTACAACACCAAACGTCAGGCCAATTATGCAAAACTAATGAAAGATAACAAAAAAATGACAGATTAATGTGGATATAAGAAAAAGGAGAAAAAAACATTATTTGTCCTCGACTTGGACTCTAAAACGTATTTCGTTCGGAAGATGCTTGAAGGCAATCGATTCATGTCGAGAGCAAAAAAGGAAAAAAAATTCAATGTTGGAACAAACGAAAAAACAAAAACAGAATGAATGAATAAATTAGATTTGCAATCAACGGATAAAAGATAAAATTGCACAGGCAACAAATCGATCGATTCGATTGGATTGATACCGAAAATCCAGATTTTCAAATTCACATCACATCAGATCAATCATTGTTCCATCAACAACAGCAACAACAACAACAACAACAAGATTTGACCGATAGGTTCCAAGGTGGACGAAACAAACGAAAACAAAAACAAAAAAAAAAATAACGAGAGCAAAATGAAAAAACAAAACGGAAAACAACAAATTCATCATCATCATCATCAACAACAACAACGCCAAAGGCAATTTCATGTGAAAATCAAAAAAACTTGATTTTTTTCCCTTTTTGATCATTTTCCATTTTCATGAATTCTTAATTCTCAAGGTTTTTTTTCTGCTCCGCTTTTTTTGCCACAGCTTGCGTGTTTGAGTTGTTACCTGCTGTGTTTTTTAATTTTTTTCATGTTGATCCATATTCAAAATTCAACGATAATTGATAAACTAAAAATAACACAAATGAACGGCACCTGTTGATTGATATTGATTTAACCTTAATTGATTAACAACATTCCATTATAAAACCAATTCAAAATCATCCAGTTTTCTAAATTTCTAAATTTCAACTTTCTCTTTCACATTTGATTGATTTAAATTTCATTTATCCATTCATGCATGCCATTTGAATGATGGCCATCGATGGATGATGATGATGATTGTTGATTGTTGGTTCATCAATTGATTTACACCTTTCTGGCAATAAAAATGATTCCATTCCATTCCATTAAAATCAATCAAATACACACACACAATTTATGATGATGTTTGACATCATCATGTCATGAATGAATGAATTCTTGAATTATGATGATCCAGATGATGATAATCCAAATGTTTTTTTGGATGCTTTTCATTCACTCCATTTTTTTCTGAATTTAAATTTCATTTACATTCAGATAGATAAACAAAAACAAAATGGATGCTGATTTTCTGTATGATCCAAAATCAGAAAAAAAACGTTTTTTCTTCAATCTTAAATGTCGAATAATTAATTCACTCTTTCAAATACAAAATCTAGTCGTCGTCGTCGACTTTCATTTTTGTTCATGGACACATGCACACAGACAACTGTGATTTCACTTGAAATTCAAAAATTTTTTCTTCATTGACCATCACTCATACAGACGAAATGACGATTAACGTTGATGATGATGACGATGATGATGACGACAAGATTTGAAATTGACCTGCACAACAACAACAACAACAAAACAACGATGAATGAGATAAATAAAAAACAAATAAAAAAAAATCAGATTTTTCATCATCTCACTATATAGTGATGTGATCATATCAATGGTGATTGTGAAATGAACAAACTTTTTCTTTCTTTCTTTTCTATCTGATTAACTCATTGAATACTCTGATGAAAAACAAAAAATTGATGGCTATTTCGACCAACAAAAAAAAAAATAGTTGAAAATCGGATCAAATTAAAATAAAAAAAACTTGGAGGCGTTGAAGAGTGAAAAAACATCGATTATCGTCGTCGTCGTCGTTTTTTGTTTCGACAACATTACCGGTGTCCATGTCGAAATAGAGCAAAAAAAAAACTTTCACACACAATCAGGAACACATCCTCCCACTGCCCTCTCACGATAACATTGACCAATGTCAATTGATCGATTGATCAATCGATTAATCACTATATATATATAATTGTGTCCAATTATCAATCAATCAAACAAACAAACCAACCAACCAGCCACCAATTGATCATCAAAATTGATACAATTTAACTTTATAAAAATATGAAATCCTCTTCCTGACTTGTGTGATTGTGTCACACACACAAAGATGATGAAAAAAAATCGATTTTCTGATAAAAAGAAACAAAACAAAACAAAAAATGAAACCATGTCATTTCGATTGAGATGCTCGAAAATGATCTCATCAATCATCATCATCATCATCATCAAAAGAAAGAAAACCTTCGTAATAAGAGGGCCAGCCGACCATTTTTTTTACAATCAAAAAAAAAAAAAAAAAAAAGTGTCGGCCATAATTTAGTGTAATATGTGATGGACAACATTATCGATATTATCGTTTGATAACAATCGAATAATAATCATGATCCTCATCCTCATTATCAGTGAAAAGAAAAACGAAGAAAAAAAATTGGTCGTCTTCAGCAAAACGAACAAAAAAATAAAAATTATTCATGTTCATCATTAATTTCTTTTCACTTTTCTATTGATTGTTCTTAAAAGATAAGAAAAATAAGATTCCATTGAAATGAGAATGAGTTTCAAGGTGAAATTCGTCGTAATCTCATTGTACAAAATTGAAACAGACACACAACACACACACATCGTGTTTATTGATTACGATTTTTTTTTTTTTAAGATCATTAAAAAATTGAATTGAAAATTGGGCGTCCATGTTGTTGTTGTTGTTGTTGCCAAGCGATGGCCCATACAACAACAACAACAACAACAAGACGACTTACGATATGGCGAGCATCATTGTTGTTGTTTTCTCGCTGTTTCGACCTTTTAATGATCATGGATCTTTAGTCATTTACAGTGATTAGTTACCACATTACTAAGTATTTTGCCAAATCAAGCGATGGCCCATAACAACAACAACAACAACAAGACGACTTACGATATGGCGAGCATCATCATATATGACGTGCAATAAAACAATAAAAACATACACACACATGCAGACTGACATCTAAATTGTGATAACACACACACACACAGACAGACCTTGGGTTTTCCCCAATTTTTTTTCTTAAGTTTTTTTTTAACACGACAAACAAGTTTGATTTGATTCGATTTTTCTAATTTGCTAATTTGAAATTTAAAATTTTTTTTTGTTGTTGAAAAATTAGCTTTTACAAATGATAAATAATAAGCAATTTCTTTTCATTTCTTTTCTCGAAAATATACATTGTTTGTGAGTTTGAAATTCAAACTTTGAATTTGCCCATTTTGTTTGTTTGAACCAATTTATTTCGACCTTTTAATGATCATGGATCTTTAGTCATTTACAGTGATTAGTTACCACATTACTAAGTATTTTTGCCAAGTATTTGTTTTGTTTGTATGGATACATAGATCCTGGATCAATACAGGAAATCAAACAAAAAAAAAAGCCTATCCCTACTAAATTACTCATAATCGATTAGACTGATATAAACACTGCCCTTTGGGCATCCGTTTTAATTTGTTAAAAACAGTTGAAACAGTACAACAGTACTTGTTGTTGCCATGGCACAAAATACCTAAATACACTCGAATCAACTTGTTTCCGTTTGCTCATGATCATCATCTCTGAATGATGATGATCATGACATTTATTATTATGATCATCATCATTCAGAGATGAATCAATCAATCAATGATCAATGATAATGACCAATAACATCATAAATTGATTTTTGAATCATCATCATGATCATCAAGATGAAAATCAAATTATGAATAAAATTCGCAATGAATAAAGGTCATTTTTTTGAAAAAAAAAATAAAAATTTTTCTCTTTAATTTTGTTGTTTTTATTTATTTCAAACAAAAAAAATTCTAGTCATGAACGAATCAGAAAAAAATTTCAAAATAACAAAAATTAAGCGGAAAATGAAGAAATCCAAAATCCATCTCCATCTTCTTCATCAAAAAAAAACAGTGAAAATGGAAAAGGAATGATTAATGATTCAATAAAAAAAACATCCCCTCCACCTCCTCCCACTACATGCTGATATCTTTGACCTTCAAAATGATAAAAAAATGGCCACGATTCAAGTCTGCGTGTGCGTGTGTGTGTGTGTGTGTAATATCATAATCGTACATATAATAAACAGCAGCTGAGAATTTTCTTTTGTTTGAAAAGGAAAGGGAAAAATTTTTTTTTTCTGATTGAATTTATAATTGAAACATTTGTTTCTGGAACATTGGTGCACACGATAAACAAGGAAAACGCACACACACACACACACACACAAGATGAATATTCAAATGTACAACAAAAGCATGAGAAAATCTAGATCAATCAATAACAAAATGAAACAAAAAAAAAAATTTTTTTCATTGCCCAACTACTGCTGTGAGTGTCTTTTTTTCACACATCATCATCAATATAATCGATCATTTTTGTTTTCAAACGAAAAAAAAAAAAATTTGACGAATCACTGTGTGTTTGAAACTCAGCAACAAAGAAAGATGTTTTGGTCAGATTCTCAAATTTCATCACCACCACCACCACCACAAAGAAAAACAAAACAAAATAATTTATCAATCTCAAATTTCTGATTAGGAAATTAATCAGCTTTGAAACAAACAAACAAAATGGATGGATGGATGGATGGTCAATCCGATTATTTCATCATCATCATCATAATTGTCCTGTTTATTATTAACACACACACACACGTAAGCCACCAAATCGATCATCATAATGGAAATTTGTCAAAAATTTTCGTTTTTGATCAAAAACAATGACAAGGTGACAATTTGATTATTATTAATTTGATTGATCATGTTGACGAAAAAAAATTTAAATTTAAATTCAATGAAATACAGTGATAAACAAACTGACAAACAAACAGAATCAATTTCATTCTTTGGCCATCCAATTGATGAATGAAAACAAAACAAAATGGCCATCAGCAACAAACAAATGTGGACAGTGGACATTGAAATTCAATGACAATTCACTTTCAAAAAAAAAAAAAAAATTTTTTGATTGCTAAAACCTGAAACAAAATTACAAATCATCATCATTATCTTGTTTGTGGATTTCACATCTTTTTTATTATTTAGTAATTCAGGAGAAAAAAAAATTTTCAATCAGTCATGATTGATTGATTGATTGATCGGTAACAAAAAGACAAGATGATGACAATAAAAAAAAATCAAGATAAAAAATAAAAATTTGAAAAAATTATGATCGATTCGTACGATGATGATTGATGACAAGAATTTTTTTCTTTTTGTTTCTGAAAATCAAGAAAAACAACAACCACATCAATGACACATCGACAACGAGTTTTGATTTGTTAATGGGGAAAAAAAGCAATGAAATAAAATCGAATTGAATTTAATCCATCATCATCATCAGAACATCTGTGTGTTTTTACAATTTTACAAATCATTGAAAGAAAAAAAAATCAGGAAGAAATCAAAAAAATGGACAAAAAACCACACACAAGGTGGAATTGATTATTTTCGATGTCATTTTTTTTTAGTTTGATTCATAATAATCATCATCATCTATGACTGTCAACAATCAATTATTGGATATCCATCATGTGGGTGTTGGGTGTGTGTAAATCACAAAATAACCACGATACGACATCATCAAAATTGGTCATTTTAAGTGAAAAAAAACACACATCAAACTGGTCGACTATATTGATGGAAAAAAGAAGATGAAAAAAAGTCCATTTATTATTAGAAACAGAGAAAATTTTTCAACTTTTCCAGTACATGGCATTAATCTATTTCAAAAAACGGATATCTTGTTGTTGTTGTGGTGGTTGGATTCGATAATTTTATGAATGACTCGGCGTGTGTGTGTGTGTGTGCAAAAAAAAAATCCCGATTTTTTTCAATTTCACCAAGCTATTTCTGATCATCCAAACGGGTGAAAAGAGTGAAATTGAAAATTTAAAGTCGAACGAGATTAACATGATGGAATTATCTTTTCACTTTTACTTTTTCATCTTGAAGTTATTTTTCCTCATTTTTTTCTTTGCAGAAAAAAAGAAAAGATTCGTCATTAGATCATCAGATTTGGATCTGAATCATCATGATGATGATGATCAAGTATTTGAGTGGAAAGAAAAAAAATTGAAATCTCAAAAAATGATGATTTTTTTTTTCATTTAGAAACCGAAATTGCCTACAGAAAAAAACTACATGAATTTTTGGTAATCAAATGAGATTATTGCGTTCCAATGATTTAATTGTCATCATCATCATCATCACACACGCATAGACAATCTGTCATATTGATCAATCAATCAAATTCTGTTATCGAACCAGAACATCAAGAAAATGAAATTTACCGAAAAAACTATTAGAATTGATGTCGAAACAGGAATTCAACCAATGACCCAGACACACACACAGGTACATGAAAAAAAAAAAACAAAACTGGGTCAACAGAAATATTTTTTGACCCAACCAAAATAAAGAAGAAGAAGATGATGAATAAAAAAAAATCCCGTAGTGATCATATAAAAGCAAACAAAATGGCTTCAAGTATACTTGATGATGATGATGATGATGATAAATTAAATTTTGATAACAATTTTCTCTCTCTCTCTCACTCACTCACTCTTTTTTTTTTCTGTTCTCAATCAACAGGTCATTGTAAAACGGATTGGACTGTGTGTGTACGTGTGTGTTTGGCGATTGAAATGATTGAAAATTTAAATTTCAAAATGAAGAAAAATAATTTAATTATTGTCATTACATAAACGATATGATGACGATGATGATGATCGGCCATATCGATAATGAGATTTGGATTGAATAAAGAAAAAAAATGACGAAAACAAAACACACACACACAAAAAAAATCAGTTCAGATCATGCAATGGTGATGATTGACCTCATCATCATCATCATCATCGTCGTCGTCGTCGTCGTCGTAATAATAATTTAAATCTCATTCAATTTTGGAGCCAAAAAAATTGAAAAATCATTTTTTTTCATTTTGATTTTGCACAAAATTTTCAACAAAATGAAAAAAAATTTGACAATAGGAAGATGGTGATTTTGTTTCATTTTCATTTTGTTTGTTTGTTTTCATTGAAAACACACACACACACACACAGGAAGTATGTACAAAATGAAAAATGAAAAAAAATTGAAATGATGATAATTTGAAAATTCAATTCAATATAAATATACCATTCATGAACAATGTAACAAATTAATTTGTCATTCAGTTAGATTTTCTTTTTACAACGAAAAACAGCTACCTTTTTGAGCTGTCTAAAATTTGCCGGCAACGAAAAAAAACAAAATTGTCTCATATGTTGACTATGGTCTGTTGGTCAAGAAAAACAAAACAAAAAAAAATCTCTACAGTTTGACCAAACAATCAACAAACAAACAAACACGCACGGAGAAAGAGAGAGACTGAAACTTTTTGTTTTGTTTTTTTTTCATTGAAAGATGACCGCAATGAATGTATTGTTTTTTCAAATCAAATCAAATCAAATCGAATCAATCAATCAATCAATTTGGCCATTATTTATTCATCAATTGATTCATTGTGATGAATGAAAATGGCGAAAATTGCATTTCCATTGCAAAGGTAGTAGTATTATCATCAAAAAAAAGCAAAAAAAAAAAATTTACGATTCTTACCTGCAAAATGGCACAAATGAATAGTCGTAAGATCATGTTGATGATGATGATGATGATTTCGTTGTTTGGTCAACTGGATGTGTTTGTGGCAGTGTTAAGTAAAAAAAATGTGTGTGTGTGTGGCAGTATTGGTTGAAACTTTTTTTTTTAAATTTTTTTATTTTCAATCTTTTCACAATCAATGGTTCCGTTGTGGTGGTGTTAAGTTTTTTTTTTTTTGGCACTTGAGTATTACACACACATACACATACACAGAAACAAACTAAACAAAAACGGACACAGGTTGAATAGAATTTTTTTTCTAGTGTTGATGATGAGGAAACAGAAGAAGAAGAAGATGAAAAAAACGACCACAACTTGCGTGGGTAGGTGTTGATTGATTGATTGATTGATCAGCGGGTTTTTTTCTGAGCTCTTGATTTTTTTTTCGTTTTGAAGAAGAAGGAAAAAATATCACAATTGTGGTGGCAGTGGGTGAGATACTTTTGTATTTTGTATTCCCGCCAATTTGATCAGGCAACGACAAAAAAAACTGGATGATCCTAGGTGTGGAAAATGGAAATGGAAAATATTTATTCGATTATGATCAAAAAAAAAAAAAAAAAAATTATTTGATTTTACAGAAATGAAACTTCAACGATGATGATGATGATGAAACTTTATTCATCATTTATTAATCAACAAATGATGATGAAAAAAAAGAAAAATTTTTCACGTTCCAAGAACAATTCGTGATCATCATCATCATCATCAACGGAACAACAACAACAACAACAAAAAAAGTTCAAAGGCCACAAAGACAAGAAATCAATGATCATAAATCATCATCATCATCAAATGAACAACATCATCAAATAACGATTGTTACAGCAGAACATTCGTATACAATAAAAAAAAATGTTTCAATCATCATCAACAACGACGACGACGACATGTTTATTGTGCACAGAGGCCAATTTTTTTTTTTTAGTGATGCTAGATTAGTTCATCATGTTGATGATGATGAACTGTATATGTCTCTGACATTCGACATCATCATCTTCATCATCATCGACAAAGAAGTTGTGGATTGATGATGATGATGATGTCAGGAATGTCGCGGAAAGAAATATTTTAATTTCAATATTTTTTTTTTCGTTTATTCATTATAATAATTATCATCATTGTTTTTCATGTCCATTTCTTTCCGGATCAAATCTTCAATCAAATATATGGATGGCCATAAACAACAACAACAACAACAACAAAAAAAATCAATTGTATTGAATATTGTCTGAATAACAAACGATCAAACATATACTACACAATTCAATGTATATGTCTGTATGTGTGTGTGTGTGTGTGAATTTTGTTTCACAAGTTTTTTTTTCTAGTTTTTGTTTTAGATCGTGATCCAAACAATTTCACTGTTCATGTTGTGCTGTCCGGGATCGATCAGTTACATCTTGGTTGTTGTATATTACCATCCGGATATATTCGAACAAATATATCGAATTACAGATAAAACAGAAATGTTTGGCCATTTTGAATATGAAACAAATTGAACGATGATGAAAAACAAAAATTTTGGATAAACAAACACACACAAGCACACAAGCACTCACGCAAAACAAACAAACTAGCAAAAATATTTTTTCATCCGTATAAAGCAAATGATGATAAAGGGACAGATTGATTTAAATCTTTTTCCATCAAAAACATAAAAACAATATATATCTATCCACTATATCAAATAGATTGATTACCGGCGTGAAAAATAAAATTAAAATTTCGACTTTTCATTCAAAAATTCATTTCCTGTCCATATATAAAATGCTAAATGCGGATGGTTGTTTACATCCACTATTTTTTGACGGTAGTTTATATGTGCACACGTATACGCGCGTGTACGTGTGCGTGCACATTTTTCTCATAATTGGATTGTGATTACAATTAGGATTGTAAATACAAGAAATTCTTCGATAATCGATCGATCAATTATCGAAGAATTTTTTTCTATTGATTTTTACCAATCTAATAACTCCATTCAAATGTAAAACATTTGTGTGTTCATGTGTGTTTGTTTCTTGTAAATCATCAAGGCTTAATTATTATCATTAAGATGATGATGATGATGATGATTTTACTCCACCCAAATGATAATAGAAATCAAAAAGAAATGTTTTTTTTGTTTTGTTTGCCTTAAATCAAAAAAAAAAAAAAATTATTATCAATTGCAGCCACGGCTGAATTAGTTAATTCAAAAAGAAAAAAACTGGATTTTTTTCATCTATTAAATACCATGGTGGTGGTAATGAGGAAAAAAATGGATTTTTCCCTCTCCACAATTAATACACACACGCACACGACAATAATAATAATAATAATGAAAAACAAAGAAACAGGTAAGAAAAAAAAGGTGAATATCGAATAATCAATCAAATCAATATATATATATATAGATTGATTATGAAGAAAATAAACACCTGTTTGATCAATAAATTGTTGTTGTTGTTATTGTTGTTTATATATGAAAAAAAACAGCGCCATCATAATCATAATCATCATCATTAGAGCATTAGACACACACACATCATCATCACCACCACTATTAGTTTTTGTTTCGCAATCCGCATTGCGATGATAAGATTATGATAATGATGATAATTTTTACATCATGATTATGATAATGGGACTAGAAGATAATGCTGTTGATGTTCATCATCATAATCATCATCTATTACATCTTTTTATTCATTCATTCATTCAATCTAACAAACAAACAAGAGAAAGAAAAGAAAATGATCCCGGAAAAATTACTAATGAATAACCGGAGAATAGCAAGAAAGAAGAAAAAACAACAAAATAACTCACAGATTTCGTTTGCTATAGTTGGTTGGTTATTCGATGAAACGTTGTTGTTGTTTTTGTTGTTTATTTATTCAATACACACACGAAAAAAACCACAACCGGTCAACCGGTGTTTCATATGCACCATATATATATATATAAAAATATAATACACCATTACCACACCGACACGCGCACACACACACACACAAATGAATGAATCAATTAATGATTCGATGATGGTGATCAACAGCAGCAAACAACAAACAAACAAACAAACAAAATCAAATAACACAAACTTGAATCGTTGAATGCAGAATATTTATACCTCAAATAAAAAAAAAATTTATTTATGACAAACGAAACAGACGAGAATTGTTGGTGGTGGTAAAATGAAGAAAAAAAATTTTTTTACAAATAAAATTTTTATATTGAACCACGTTTGTTATCCATTACTATTCACATATATACCACAAGAATGATAAAATGGAGACAATCATCATCGTGGATCATTTATATATATGGATATAGCCATCACTTGTATTTGTATGTGTGTGTGGCTAGCATCACATCATCATCATCATCATCATCGAAGATTATTGAAGATGATATCACACACACACACAAGCACTTATTTTGCACTTTATGATGATTGAAAAGTAGTAGCAATAGAAAATTGAATATGATGAAATAGAATATTGATGTTACATTTCTTCATTTCTGTTGAAAAAAAAATAAACTAAATATATATAATATACAGCTACCTGCTTCATTAAAAAAAAATTAAATAAAACACAGGTGAGAAAAAAAAACACGTACCTTGTATATATGAATAAAATCTGTATTTTTTTGTAATGAAAAATTTTATCACAAAAAAACCTCGCTCTCTCACTCTCTCTCTCTCTCTCCCTCATTCTCTTTACCGGTCAGTTGTTAATTTCTAGTTTTCAAAGATGCTACTTCTACATTCACAAGTGGTCAAGTGTGTGTGTGTGTGTGTGGAAAATGGGGAGGGGGAGCGATGAAAAAAAAATGATTCAATTATCACTGTTTGTAAGCAGAGAATTTGAAATGAAACAAAAAAAAAAAAAAAATTGAGAAACACATTGATGACGAAAGAATTTGATTGATTGATTGAATTATATTACAGGATTATATTATATGAGATTTATGATGGTTGATGCTCTGTTGTGTTGGTGAAGAAGAGAAAATGAATGAATAAATGAAAGAAAAAATTTTTTGAACGAAAAAAAAAATCACCAATAAAATGAAAATTGAAAGAGAAAGTCAAATAGAACAAAAACGTAGACACAAAAAAAAGAGAGAAAAACGATCCATTAGAAAATGAAAATCGATCAAATTTCAGGCTTTTGATTTTTTTTTTCATTTCAAAAAAAAGAGAGAGAGAGAGAGAGAGAAAAAATAAAAAATACTTACACACCCACTACCACTACCTGTTACTGCTAATTTTTTTTTTTCTTTTTCTTCTTCTTCATCATCATTATCTTTATTGATTGATCAATAATCATCATCATCAGCAACGAAAACAAAAAAAAACAAGATCCAAATGGAACAACTTGTTTCATCTATATGTTGCTCCAGATGATGATTTAAGCATCAGTGTTGTTATTGAAGAGAAAATGACTCTGAATGAATACGATATGACCACCACTGACCAATGTTCATTTAGCAATAGCAGCAGCAGGTTATCTAATCCAAAAGACATGAACAAACAAAACAAAAATACTGACCGGTGATGGTCAACAGCAGATTTTTTTTTTTTTGCTGTTGTCTATTCATTCATTCATTCATTTTAGTAGATCGGAAATTAAATACACACTTTTTTCCCAAAATGAAACAAAAACAACGAAACATTTAGCAGCAGCAGCAACAGCAACAGTTGATCTTTTTTTTAATACGATACGATTTTTGCCTGTGTTTGTAACGAAAAAAAAAAATTCTCACCATCATCATCTTTATCATTTTCATTGATGCATACCTGTCCGCGTGGTGTTTTTGTTGTTGTTGTTGTTGTTGTTGTCCAGGTCTTGAACATGTTTCTGGAACCTTTTTTTGGGAATAAAAAAAAAATTTGGCCATATAACCGTATATATCTGTGTGTATGTGATGAATGGAAAGTTTTTTTCTTCTTCTCTTTACTTTTTCTTGCTTGTTGTCCAACTAGTTTTTTTTTCATCGTCGTAGTCGTTGTTTATGTCCGAATGATTCAGATATATGATTATCTTGACCATTTTTGTTGTTGTTGTTGTTGTTGTTGCTGTTTTGTTTTTCATTTTCGTTTTCAAACAACAAAATATATGATGATGATGAACAGGAAAATGGTTTTGATGATGATGGAGATTGAATAAATGAGTGTGTGTGTGTGTGTGTGTTGAATGTACAGTTTGTTTTTTTTCTCATAAATTTTTTCAGTAAAAGTTCAGGTTTTTCATTCACCTATTCATCAGGTTCTTTTGTTTGTTAATTTAATATATTTATATATATGTTGTAGTTGAATACATTTTTTTTATCGGCACGATTTTTCGTTAGTAAAAGTAAAATCAGCCAGTCAGAATCGTAAATATCGAGACATTGTTATCATGAGAATTTTATCTTTCTTTCCTTTTCGAAATTTGCATATGGCCAATTTTTTTTTTCGTCACATCATCACCACTGACACTACTACTGGTCATCATCATTTAGTAGCTACCAAAGTTTGTAGATACATTTTTGTTTTCCTGTATGAAGAAAAAAAAAACATAAACATAAACATTCAGATATCATCAATTTACATACAAAAAAAACATACCATGATGATTGATGATGATGATGATGATAATATCTTTGAACATTTTTGTGTATCAAATGATAATAATAATCTTCATATATTGGTGAATTTTAAATTCAATTTCAAATTCGAATCGGTCATTTTGTTTGCTAAAAAAAAAAATAAATCGAATCATTCAATTGATAGTTATGTACAACAACGACAACGACACACACCACCATTATTATAATGTGCACATTATCATCATCGACAATAATACGTACATGGATAGATTACAAGATTACAAAGTGGATTGCCTGAAACCAAAAAATACGAACCGAAACGAAACAAAACAAAACAAAACACACACACGATTGGAAGATTCATATTTTTTTCATTCATTCATTCATCTTTTATATTGTAAAAATAAATGGCAGTGTTGAATTAATTTTATCATCATCATATGATGATGATGATTGATTGGATTGGAAAAATAAAATTCGATTAATGACTATATACATTGTTTATGAATGGACATCCAAAGAAAGAATGAACGTTCGAAAACAATTTGATGATTTCGAATTTTTATCTTGATCCAACACAATTTTCAATAATAATCAATAAAATTAATATCTGCAACATCAACAACAAAAAAAAAATTAATTAACTCAAATTTATCGGATAACAATCTGATGACGAAAAAAAAACACCTGTATTCATATTGTATATCATCATCACATTGTATATCTCCAATCCTATTCGTTGTTGATGGTTACCAGGTCAGTGTTTCATGTTTGAAAATTTTTTCCATATAAATAAAATTCATATGGAAAAATGAATCTGATAAAATCTAAATCCAAGCAGCTGTGATAGAAAAAAATGTCAAGATGATCCATACCATTTTTGGTTCAATGGCAAAAATAGAAATTTACCTGGAAAAAAATGAAAGTGAATTTTGTGGTTTTTTTTTTTTCAAAACTTTCGCTAAAAATGATGCTATTTTCAGCCTCAATACATCGACAATCGACATAAATTGTATCGAAATCATGTCGTTTTTTTTGGAGTAACCAAAAAAAAATCTAGATTTATCAATCACTCGCCCTAATCATTATCATCATCATCATCATCATCATAATCATCAAGCAATCAAGTGGTATTTAAACCAAGTCAATCGGTATATGTATGTTAAATTGTAAATGATTTTCTTTTTCTCTCTCTCATTCAAATCTTTTCTCTCTGTATATGTAATGACATCTCCAAGATACGAAATACTGTCACATTTTATATTTGTCTCACTTTTTATCGTTAAGATTATCGTGTAAATGTGCTAGGTCATCACTGTTCAACGATCAACGATGATGATTTCAAAATCTATATCTAGTTTGGATCCGTAAAAAAAAGTGCCAAAAACTAACGATGAGAGATTCGATATATCCAATATTTCCAATAGGAATGATAAATGATATTAGCTTGGCTTTTGTCAGGCCACAAACAACACTGACAAATCTTCTGTTTTCATGAAATGAACGTAAAATTGAAATGGTAATAATAATCACATCAAGATGGTCAATAATTAATGAATTTTCATGCATTCATCATCATCATTCATAATCATAAATGCATATCAAATCACATACTGTGTATCTGTGGGCACTACACACATCTGTCATCATCAAAATATTGATGTGATTTTTTTATTTCGCCCCCTTAATTTCTCATTTGTGGTTTGACAAAAACAAAATTGAAAAATTTGGATCGATTCAAAATCATCATCATCATCAAGCTAATCGAAATCATGACATGAGTGACGCCATCTTGCGACAGTAGTTCGAATTGTTGAAAAAAATTTTCAATTTGATTGATTCAAGAATCGATCATCAAATTGTTATTAATTTTTCTTATTTACACTAATCAATCAATCAATCAATCAGCCAGCCAGTTAGTATGCAATAAATCTGTATACAAATTGGTTTTCAAAAAAAAAACTAAACGACATTCATCATCGAAGAATTTCAAGAACGAGAAAAAAAAATTTTTCCAGTTCCAAGAAATTCACAATCATCATCCAACACCATATGAAAAAAAAAAAAAATCTTTCACAGGCTTTTTTTTCATATGCATTAATTTAATTCTGTTCATCATTGCCATTGCCAATGGCAAGAATTGCAGCAACATTAAGCGCCAAGAAAAAAAAACGAAATTTTTTTTATTATTATTACTGAATGAAGCAAATCCGTTCAGTTCTCATTTGATTACAGTTATGGCGCCTTCTTTATTGCTCGATCATCATCATCATCATCATTAAAAATAACAAAGAATATGGGAAAACATTTCAATAATAATAATAATAATAATAATCAAATCAAACAAACAAAAAAATATTTATTCAACATCAACAATAAAGACAAGAAGAAAACAACTTTTGATGAAAGAAAGAAAGAAAGAAAAAAAACTACACTATTTACACTATCGCATGGCAATGTTTGTTCTTTGATGTTGATGATGATGATGTGATGGTAACGATGATGACATTGAAAATGTCACATAAACATACACATGAGATGTGGAAATGTGAAAAAAAAAAAAAAATACGACAACAACCATTAAATGAATCAATTGTAAATTCAATGAAAATTTCCTAGTTTCCCCGCTAACTAACTAATAATGGATATATAGATGTCGTCAATCAATCAATCACATCAATCAATTGGCAATCAATCGAATCGAAATAGATCATTGTTTAAAATGAAAAGAATTTTAATCGTAAACTGATGATTAGATCGGAATTTCACCAGAAAAAAAGCCGGAAAAGTAAGTGAAAAAAAATTCCATGTTTTTTTATTTATTCAAAAAAAAAAAAAAAATTATTCAATGATTCTGTCATTTCAAGGTAAAAATTACAAATTCTCCAAACTACTATACATTCGCATTCTCTCTTTCAGTGTGTGTGTGTGTGTGTGTGTATTCTGTACTTATCGAATTTCAAGGTTTTATTCATTCATATTCTTTTCACAAATTTTTCCATTATAATATAATATAATTGATGATTTAAGCCAAAAAATTTTTGTTAGAGATGACGGAAAGAAATTTTTTTCTGGTGAAAAAAAAAATTTGTCAATGGCAACCATATCACAACCATTCACTTGGTTGAGATTAGATTTTGTCAACATTTTTTTTTTTTTTGGCATCAATACTAATGAACATGTATTTTTTCTTTCTCGCTTTCGCTTTTGTAGATTTTCAAGATTTAAATCTTTCAACCGAATAATCAAAGATAACTCGAAAAGAATCAAGCCTTGTTCAACAGGACGACGACGACGACGACAACAACAACAACAACATAATAATCATCATCATCATTTATTTTCATCGCTTCAATAAAAATTATTTCACATAGAAAAATAGAAAAGATAAGTAAGAAAAATTCGACATTTTTTTTATTTTATTTTAATGAAATGAAATTCTTAATTATCTAAATCTAGATCTAAACATCGAGTGAAAGAAAGATTTGGAAAAAAAAATTTCACATTCATTTTCATCACCACCAACGCTAATACGATACCACCATCATCATAATCATCAAGGCAACAACATAATTCGATCATTTCTATCCATCACCCAAACAACACACAGACACAAATAATTCTTCAATGTCTGATATGTGTAACCATCATCATCATCATCACCACCACCACCACCAGTTGCAAACATTAAAACTACAGAATATAACCGAATTATTATCATTATATGTGTGCCTCTACGACAAGATGATAATCCAATTACGGAACCAACAAACGAAGATTATGATACGAATACAATCTTGAACTTTTTTTTCATTTTTCTTTTTGTTTGTGTTGATGCTGCTATATATCCGATTTTATATTTCGATTTTTGAAATGTAAATGTTTGTGTATGTGCGTGTGTAGGAGGTGGTTGGCTTTGGGTGTGATTATTATACACACTGGTGATATTACAGCTACCAGATATTTTTTTTTTCATTTTCAATGTCTTCATCATCACCACCATCGTCATACTTGAATCCAATGAAATTTTCTTTATTATTTCGATTCGGTTGTTGATGGTGGTAAAAACCTTGATTTAAAATTATTGTACACACACATGCACACATGACGGATTCTTCTCATCATCAAAGACGTTTGTGTTGTTGTTGTTGTTGTTTATCATCCAAAATTACCATCATTTCATCATCAACAACAACAACAATTTCTTGACCTTGTTATCATCATCATTGCCATCGTGGTTGTCACAGAATATTCTTATAATTTATTTGTAGTAGTAGTAGTAGCAGCAGCATTATGATTCTTTAATAGTTTCTAATCATCATTGTTGATTATAAGTATTATTATTCGTTTCGTTGAACAAAAGGATTCATTTCTTAAGATTTCTCGTGCCTTTTGATGTAATTTTATTCGAATTCTACTTGTTGACTCTGTCTATTCTATGAATAATGTTTGTCGTCGTCGTATTGTGTTCATCATTGTTTATGTGTGCTCGATCAACTGAATCATGATTTGTTTCTAAGATTTTTTTCCAAGTGTTTTTTTTCCACACTCATGTGATATTTCTACCCTGTTTGTGTTTTCAAAGATTTTTATCACTTTTCTGTGTGTGTTTTTTTTTCGTGAACTCTGATATTGTGCGTGTTTGTGTGATTAGATTAATGATTATTTGCGGTGTGTTGTTCACCGGATATACAATAATAATCGGCAATTTTTATTTCCTTCGTTTTTAACTTTTGTTTTTTCATGTTTATGGGTGTCCATTTTTTTCAACATTTCATTTGATTGTCGCTAATAAAATCACCAAACTACTACATTCAAAAATGATCTACGTAGATGAAACCGATCCTATTGATGAAAATGAAGAGCCACCATTTCAACCACGTAATGTTTGTGTGAAAAAAATCAATCCAAATGTTGAATATACATTGGGCGAAGAATTGGGAAGGTAATTATTGAAATTAATTTCAATAATTAAAGAAAAAAAATAATTTCTATTCATTAGAGGAAAATTTGGTGTCGTACGTTTGTGTTATGAGAAACAGTCGAAGAAAAAATTGGCCGCAAAATTCATACAAACAACCTGCACGCAGGATCGTAAAGATGTTGAACGTGAAGTGGAAATAATGTGTGCATTACAACATCCACGATTATTACAATTATATGATGCATTTGATGATGGTAAAAATCAAATGTGTCTTATTATGGAATGGTAATCATCATTCAATCAATCAATTTTTATTATTATTTTCACTAACAAATTGGAATGTTATACACTTACACTTCCTTTTCATTCAAATTCAATGATGATGAATGATTGAATGACACAATTTCAACTTTAACCATTTGATTTTTAATTGTAACAGATAATCAGAATTGCAAATTTGTTATTGTTGTCCCCCTTTTACGCCCAATTCAATAATTGACATTTTCAATGTGATTCTTTTAATGAATTTTTTTCTGCTTTGTTTGTTCTCTCCCATTTTTTTCCTGAATGAATGTTAATACCACATCACCACCTACCTAAAATTCAAGTGTTGAAGGTGGCGAACTATTCGAAAGGGTCATCGATGATGATTTTGTATTGACAGAGAAAGCATGTTCCATATTTGTACGACAAATATGTGAAGGTCTTGATTATATTCATTCAAAATCAATCATACATCTTGATATGAAAGTATGTATTTCTCATTTTGTTTTAATTAAGTTTGAAACTCTGACTAGCTGAATGAATAAAGATTTCAATGATTGAGATGGACAGGTTCATGGAGATTTCAATTCTAATTTCTGAAACTTCTTTTATGTTAATTAATGACAAATTTTTTTTTGCTGTCTGTTTCCATTTGTTTAGCCTGAAAATGTTCTTTGCGTTACACGTACTGGTAATCGTATCAAATTGATTGATTTTGGTTTTGCACGTAAATTCAATAAAGGTCTACAGGTTATGTTTGGTACGCCGGAATTTGCCGCACCTGAAGTGATCAATTTTGAAGATGTTGATTTCGTAACCGATTTGTAAGTTATTGACTTATATTTATTGATTTGATTGTTTTTGGGCCGTATAATCACGATTTTTGTTTTCATAATTCATCCAGGTGGGCCGTAGGTGTCATCACATATGTTTTGTAAGTTTATTAATTAAAAATTTTGTTAATCATCATCATCATTAATTGTGTTTTCTTCATTTCTCGCACAATAGATTATCTGGTCTATCACCATTTATGGGCGATAGCGATCTTGAAACAATGGCCAATGTAACAAGAGCTGTTTATGATTTCAATGATGAATCATTTGATCCGATCTCAAAAGGAGCTAAAGATTTTATCGCCAAATTATTGGTCAAAGATAAAACGTATGTGTTTATGAATTTCATATTTATGAATTTTTAATTTTATTTTTTTCCTCGAAAAAAAAGGAAACGATTGACAGCTACACAAGCATTGAAACATCCATGGCTAAAGGTAATTGTGGTGATGCTTTTTCAATGATCCATTTAGTCATTTTGATGTTTGATCCATTTGAATCTGATTTGATTTGATCTGATTTCCTTTTTTTTCTCTACAATGTTTTTAGACTCGAACGAAAAAATTGAAAAATGAACCAAAAGATAAATCATTGGATAAGAAAAAATTGAAAAAATTTGTCATCAGAAGACGTTGGCAGGTAAGTTGTTGTTGTTGTTGTTAAAGAGTGAACGAAAGAGAATGATTCAAAAACTTTTGAATTTTTGTCATTGGCTAGAATACAAATTTTTTTTCAAGTATCAGATTATCAAGTTATATACATTATTAGTATATCCGATTAAATCTAATCAGATCATTTGCAAGGTCTTTAATATGTTTGTTTTGTTGCCAAATCCAAGTACAAAAAACACACACACACGATAATCGATGGGGGCATTAAAATGATAATGACTTGCAAATGTGTGACCGTTGTGTGTGTGTGTGTAGGGGAAAAAAATCAATAATTCAGTGTTAATAATATTCATTTTTTTTTTAGTTCAAAAGTTTGTGTTTTTGTGTGTGTGTTTAAAGGGAAAAGAAGAGGAAAAATGTCGAAATAGCCGATTAATCAATTATGTATTGATTATTGATTTATGATGAATATATAAATGTTTTTTTTAACCTTTACAATATTTGTGACAAGTATTTTTTCTTTAAAAAAAATGAAAAGATTTTTGTTACATTTTCACATTTGTTTTTCAATAATCACATGTTGTATGTATTACTAGAATATTTTGTTTGTTTATTAACCCTTTTGATATATTATTGAGGTTATTGACCGTTTGAAACGAAAAAAAAAATTTTTTTGATAAGGAAAATGAATGAAAAAATGATGAAGGAAAAAAAATTCAAAGTTTATCTGTTGATATATTGATGACATGAAAGGATTTTATATTTTCTCAATCAATTAATTATTTAGTCAACTTGATGGGAAAAAATGACAAAAAAAAAATAACCGGAAACATTTTTCATCTAATTTTTATGAATCTTTTTTCTTCTTTTTCTTCCATATACACTTGTATAGAAAGCTGTCAATGCAATATTGGCATTACGACGAATGGGTGCAACAATCGATCTACCACCATTACCAATTGCATCGATACCTACACCGAAAAAATCAACACCAAAAACCGGCAAAGCAAAAGGCTAATATCAACAATTAAAAAAATGAATAAATCAATGGTCGATAATACTACTTGTCTACTTATCATCATCATCATCATTATCATTATCTTGTCATTTTGAAAATTGGAAATTAAACATCTTATATTACACACATTCATATAATCTTCAAATGAAAAAAAAAATTCAAAGCAAACCACATCAACAACAAATTTAAATTCTAGTCTTTCTTTTGATTCACTATCCCACCCATCATCCGCGCATACACATGGACACACCCCCACCCACGCATTTGCTTATTCATTCATTCATTCATCAATCAATCAATCAATCAATCGATTCATTTTTTTGTTCATCAATTTAAATTTGTATTTATAAATCTCATTCACACACACACTATTATACTGGTTGAACTGATGACTGAAATCAATTTGAAAATTTTCAAATTTCAATCAAAAATACACACATATTTATCTCTTTATCTTTATGAATCACTTTGTGTTTTTTCAGGATTCTTACCATTTTATTTGATTTGTTTTATCACAAAAGAAAACGTTTCTTGTTTTGTTTGTTTTTTTTTGTTTGTTTGTGTGTGTGATTTGTGATTATTTGTTAAATAAAAATTTAAAAAATGCAAAAAAAAACTTTCAAATATAACTCTTGTTTATTTTCAAACCAAAAAAAAAAAAACATCATCATCATAATCCAAATAAGATCACGCACACGCCATCTGTCGACAATAATCGGCAATCATCGATTCATTTTTTCTTTCGATTTTTTTATACGATAAATAGGTTGACGTTGTTGTTTTTTGGAATTTAATAAAATTTGAATCTTGTTTGATTGTTGCGATTTTTGTTGCTGATGATGTTTGTTTTGTGTAGTTATCGTACTTTTCAGTGCCGGTGTTTGTTGTTGTTGTTGTTGATGATGATGAGTTAGTGTTGGAATAATAATTTTTTCAATAATTATTTTCGATTTATTCGATTGTCCACCACCTCCACCTCCTCCTCCTGCTCCAGCAGCAGCAGCAGCCGTCGATGATATTATCGATGATGATGGTATATGTACACTTGAACTAGGTACAATTACATTACTATCCATTACTTCTACGCTTGTTATACATGTTATTGCTGATGTTGATGTTGATTTACCAGCAGCATTAATCATATGATGATGACTTTGTTTCCAACGACTAATACGACTCACTTTTGAAATATTCGAATTTATCGATGTTACCGGTGTTGTCGATAATGATGTTATTGATGGTGATTGTTTTTTCTTTCTATCATCATCTGTGGTTATAATTAGATTCATAAAACGACGTTTTAAATCAACAATTTTTATACGTGTTTCACTTGGTTGAAATATCATATTCAATATTGTTAAAATAGCCGAATTTATTGATGTTGATGTGTTTGTTGTTGTTGTTTGAATGTTGACCACGCTATTTCAGCCTGTTGATCATTATGTGGAACAAAGAATGGATTTTTTTGTACAAGACAATAAAGTAAAATGGTGCCAAAACTCCAAATATCCACCATATAGCTATCATATTTTATATTAAAACATTCTGGTGGCAAATGATTCCATAGATATTCACGTTCATCCTGTAGACCACGATGTCGTAATGTTGGCCGTCTATCCAATGGATTCCAAATGAAACATGACATTTCAAAATGTCCCAATTTTATATTCTGATTACTATTATCAACATAAATGAATTCCGGACGAATATAACGATGTGAAATGGCATGACGTGATAGATAATCAATAACTTCTAATAATTGTATTAATAATTGTTTAATCTGCACCATTGTTGGCCATAATGATCGATCACCGTCTGTGGATGAAAATATATATGCTAATGAACGACTACCACCACCACCACCACCAACGTCTGTGGGTGATAATGATTCATAAAATAATAATAAATAATTTGTTTGATCAGTTGTTGTACGAAATATTTCGATTAATCGATGTATATGTTTCGATATGATCGATATTGATGATGATTGTTCTTGTTGTTTTTCTTCTCCATTTTCAGCTGTTGATTGTGTTTGATTATTGCAATTATCTGATGATTGCAATTTTTTTCGTCGTTTCATAATTTGTTCACTTAGATATTTCATTATTTTACCACTTTCATTGAGTAGAATATTTTTATGTCTATTCGGTATATGATTCATTGGTAAAATTTTCACTAAACCAATGTTCCATGTATCGAATAATAAATTATCCACTGAATCATTGTGGCCATTATCATCATTATTATTATTATCTTCATGATGATAACGTGATTGTAGATAATAATCATTGATAAATAAAGCGTTATATTCATCCTTAAATGATTGATCACGTTCGATACGAAAATGTTTCTGTTCAAATAATTGTTGTTCATTTTCAATTTGTTGATGTGATCTTTGTGCAAATATCAATCGTGTAGCCGATGCAAATTCTGGATATGAAAGCTGTATTTTTGTCAACACTGTACCCGGTTTTTTAATTTCATTTTCATTTACATTCATATTCTATATTTATTTATTATTCAACCACCATCCAGGATGATGTTCAACACAATTTTCGTGAAGATGAAGAAAAAATTAATTTTCAAAAAATAATAAAAGGTTGGTGATGATACATACCCGTTTCAAATCGATTCTATAATATGGTTTTTTTTGTTTCAACATTGTCAGATCAGCATTTGGTAATAGACGTATATCGGATTTAAGATCAAATAATGTCATACGATAATCGGATGGTTGAAAAATATCATCCAATAATGTACGCCATTCTTCGGACATTGTACGACGTTCCCATGATGAACGCCATATATTTAGATGATTATAATCATCATTATAGCCACCACTACTATTATCATTATTAAAATTTGGACTAAATGGATTATTACGTGTTATAAGTAAACAGATTATTGTACCAATACTCCATACATCCACCATGCTTGCGTCATAATCATCAAACCAACATTCTGGTGGTAAATGATCCAGAAAATAATCTTCAATCATATCATGTGGCAATAATCGTTTTGATTGCATAATCGGTTGATCTGTTTCATATGAATGAAAAAAACAAGCCATATCGAATCCAGTGACCAATATTCGTTGATGATTACCACTACCATTTACAAGTATGTTTTCAGGTCGTATGAAACGATGTGCAATACCGCATATATTTAATGATTCAATTGTTTGACATAATTGTAATAACCATTGTTTGATTACAGAAACCGTTAATGATATGGAATTTGTTGTCGTTATCGTTGTTGATTCATGACAATCATCAATATTATTATTATTCCAGATAATATGCGTTAAACTTGTGGATAATGAAAATCGTTCCATAAATAAATAATATTGATCATCAACAACATTGTGTACAATGCTCAATAAACGATGTAAACGTTGATCATTCATTTGTGCATGTTGTTGTTGGCGAATAAAACGCATTATCAACAGACTTTCTTGTAGCCAATGTTGTCGAAATGATTCGGACATTCGTTCGGGATAAACAATACGACAATAGATTTTTATCCACGCCGATTTTGATCGATGTTGCTGCTGTTGCTGTTGTTGTTTTGATTGTTGATTATGTTGAGCATTATTCAAACGGCTATAAACCGTATTCGTATGACCAATGATAGTATATTCTTCTCGTGATCGTATCTGAAAATAAAGACGATTTTTCAGCTCATGTTCATCACGAATTTCAGCATCTACATTCGAATTCAAAGATTGAGTGGTGGTAATGAATGTTTTCAGCCGTTTCTGTTGTTCTTTAAACAATATGTCACGTAATTTTAGATCGGCAATACGTCTAGAATGTTCATTACAGATTTCTTCACCCATATTTGTTTTTTCTCTACAATGAATTTTTTCAAAAAATCAAATGAACCAAACCAAACTGAATACAGAAAAAAAACTTGTTTGCTTCCAAAAATACTGGATATCGAATTTTTTTCCCAGTTTTTTGTTTCCATTTTAAATGATGTTGATGAAATTAATTTAATCACATCAGAACAAAGTAATAGGGGCTACCATTTGATTTTTGCAAATTAAAATTTTAAAAATATTTAAATTGTAACAGTCAACCGGCTGCGCATAGTCCCTGCCTATTGTAACCTCTTCCTATTTCGACCGAGAAGTCGGCGCGAGAAAACGAGCATGGTTATATCCAACCGTCAATTTCCGTGTCCGACACACAATTCAATTCACTGTACACGTGAACACACACACATTCGATTTCAACGTAATAAAAGTGATTTCAATAAAAACCAATAGTTTGACCAACTTATTCATTTGTCAAGCAACAAAATTGACAAAATGAAATAAATAGCTTACATATACGTACTATATTGGCAATATATTTGAGTTCTATGTTTCCTTTAATCACGTGTTTAGTTTAGTTTTGAGTGAAATCAACAATGGATCATCAAAATTTTAATCCGGTAAGTGAATTTCTATTATAAATATAAAATAAGAAATGTTGATGATAATGATGGTGATGATCAGCCAGCAAATAAGGTATCGAATGCTAGTTTGGCATGCATGCATTTATATATAAATTAATATTCCAGATGAAAAGTGCCAATGCCAAAATCTTTGCTGTGCCAAATTAAGAGAAAAATTAAATCAATTTACGGAAAAAGTTGATACGTTGGAAACATGGATAAAAAAAAGAAATGAAAAAAATCAATAATCCAATAATAATCAATAACTCTGTAAAAAAAATGGCGATTTTTTGTTGGAAGATAAATGGCTGGTCAAAGGCGAATTTTTGCATATCGCAGCCAGCGATACTAGCATAGCGAACTTGCCAACTTAATGGATTCGGTTTTCTGAAGAACGATGACTGAACTATTTTATTAAACATATATGTATTCAATACAAAAATAGAGATTATTCAGAAATACAGTGATCATTAATAATAGAAAGAACTTGAATAATAATAATAATAATGCAGTAATTCATACTAATAATGTTTTTCTTTTAATAAAAACCTTTCAGAAATATAAATCTACCAAAAATCTTCCAACCGATCTCAAAAATGCGGTTGATTTATTAATCGGTAAGTTTCACTTTTATGATGTGCAATAAACTTCCTTCAACCGATATCATTGCAACATTTAGAACATTATGCAAGGGCGAAAATCGTCGAAAAAAGGTGGCGAATATGTTGTGTTAACTTGAATTTAACAAATTGATCAATTCCCTCAAAATAATGATCAATTAAATTTATCTCAAAATAAAATCACAACCAACAGATGGCAGAACCTGTACCAATCAATATATAATAAAAAATTTTTTTTGAATCAAAATCATTTGCATATACTGTATGTGTGGTAGTTTTTTTTGTCAACAAAAGAAAAAAAAATTTTTTTATTACAAAAAAAGTAAACACACGCCAAAAATTCAAATTTAAAACAACCAGAACAATACAATACAATACAATATATATACATAACGAAAAAGAAACAAAAAAAAAATCATGGCCACAGGGAAAAAAATAACAGAACAAGAGAGATAATAAAATCGATCGATCGATTTTTGTTTCTGAAATTGGATCCCGATTTCAAATTATAAATCAAATTTTTGGAATCGACAAAATGAAAAATCGTAAAATGATTTACGATTATTATTATTGCATTTTGATTTATTTGTTGTTGTTGTTTATTATTGGGCATGGAACATGGAACGTCGTGGGTGTGTTTTTTAGGTGGGTTGATTTGATTTTGGGTGGATGGCTATTTTTATCCGGATGATTTGATGATAAATATCAACTACTACCATGTAGTTGTTGTTGTTGTTTTTGTTGCTGATGATGATGATGTGCATGTAATATAATCCAATCCGGTGTTTCCGTAGCATTACTTGGTGTACGTGTAATATAACCAGGTGTTGATGGTGGTAATGGTAATATATCTAATCTATGTTGACCACCACTACCACCACCACGATGACCACCTTGTTCTTCATCGTCAATCATAAAATCAAAATGATGATTTTTTGATATTTTTCGATTTTGTTGTTGTTGATGTTGTTGTGATTGATATGATGATAAGCCACCACCAACAACGCTACTACCAGCACCATGACGATGTGATGTACCAGAATATTCATCTAGCATTGCATCTCGATCAAAATTATCATTACTACAATGTGGCATACAGAATATGACACGTTTAAATGCCATTTTGAATTCTTTATTTAGATAAGCATAGATGGCTGGATTTAGTGCACTATAACAAAAGATAATGATGATATTTGTGAAGTGAAAAAAAAAAAAAAAAAAAAATGAGAAAAAAAAGAATTGAACAAAAAACAAAAGAAAATCTTACCTATTCACATAGCCAAGCCATGTAATACTGGATCTAAGTTCATAGCTTATATTACATTGATCACAATATGCCGATATAACGTACATGATGAAAAATGGTAGCCTAGAAAAAAGAAAAATCAAAATGATAAAACGAAACAAAAAAATCTCATTAAAATGGGATAAAAATATTTTTTGTGAATAATGGAATTCTGGATGAAACTAACCAACAAAGACAGAAAACACCCATAACAATTCCTAATGTACGAATTGCTTTTGTATCGGTGATTAATTGTCTAGCACGTCTACGTAAACTACGTTCAGCATGACGTTTTGATGTTTCCATTGCTGCTGCTGCTGCTGCTGCTGATGATGATGATGATGATGATTGATCCATTAAATTGTTACATTTTGTATTTGTTGCCGATACATTAGCTGTCATTGCTGTTGTTGATAATGATCTTGATCCAACACAAGTTCCAGTACCAGTGCCAATAGTGGTGTTTAAATCATTATTAAAATCCATACTATTTGAATAATTCATCATCATCATTGTTGTTGTTGCTGACCGTTTTGGTGATAATTTATTTGGTGATTCTTCACCATCGTCATCATTTGATTGTATTTGATTTACATTAACCAATGAACTAAAATGAAAATGAACATTCTGTCCATTTGATTTTGATTTTGTTGATGTTTCAGCTGCTGCTGCTGCTGCTGGTGGTGGTGGTGGTGGTGTTAATGTAATCGATGTTGTTGATTGCTTTAAATTAGCATTGTTTGTTGTTGTTGTTGCTAATAATGTTGATGGTTGTGATTGGGGCGTTAATGGTGTTGGACAATCAGATTTCCGTTGTAATATCAATGATGGTGATGATGGTGGTGGCGTTTGTGACTGTGTTGTTGTTTTTGTTGTTGTTGGTGGTGGATAATTCATCGATAGAAAACCATTCTGTCTTAAAGATTGTTCCAATTGTTTTATTTCACGTGATTGCCTTTCAGCGACCAATAATATGCGTAGATAAACATAAAACATAATTGGCAATGGAAGATAGAATGACGTTAATGATGATATTGTGGCATAAATACGATTTACCTATTGTTTTTTTTTGTTTGGATGAGAAAAAAAACAAATTAGCGAAAAGAAAATTACAAATTCAATTCTGGATCCCCAAAAACCAAATGTTTTTGCCAGCTGTTTATTCTTTGGATTTGTTGAATGAAAACATTGTCTCAGATAGGTCGATTTGTCGTCGTCGTCGTCTTTGTCTTTTTCATTTTGTTTTTTTTCATTATTACACAGACGATAATAACAAAAATGTTAAAAGATCAATATCGCTGGCTCGTTTGTTCGATTTTTTTTGGTTCTGCACTATTTTAACGTACCTATCTGTACCCACCTTTGTCACAGACAATTTTTCTAATTAACACAATGTTTGCTATATGAATTTTTTTTTTGGCGAAAAAAGCATCATCATCAATGGATTTTTGATCATCAAAATGAATAATTCATTTCACTGTTACACATTGTTTTTATGATCAAGTACAAGACACAACACCTACACAGCGACAATAGATTGAAAAAAAATGAATAAATTCCAAAGACAAAGTCACAGAGACAAATCTGTCAATTTTTTTTTTTCATTCTTAATCACACACACAAACGGTACTGAATAAGAGATTCAATCGTTTGTTTTTCAACTTGTCGTTGTTGCTGTTGTCTGAGAAAACTTTTTTTTTTTTTTTCATTGCTGATGATTATTGTAAAAATGTCAAGTATCTCATATGTCAAAAATGTAATTGTGTGTGTGTGTGTGTGTGTGTTTCGACGATTTTGAAAAAAAAAATTTTTTTGGAAACGGATCTTGTTGTTGTCTTGGTTTCATTTTGGGTGAACAAAATTTCAATGTTTCAAGATCTGTATTTTTTTTTTGCTCACTATAATTGGCCATATTTTATTATTATCATCTGTCCAATTGATGATGAATTTGAATTTGTTTTCATAAAGTCAATATATATATAAAAAAAATGTTGTTGTTTGTCATTGGAAAAAAAGGCCAAAGGGAATGTTTTTTCGTCAATCTCAAAACCTCACACACACACTCGCTTTGTCTACACTATGGCAGTGAATTTACAAGAAATGAAAATTCAATTCATTGGAAAAAAAATGAAATGAAATCAAAATTCTTGTACAAACAACATACACACACACACGTTTTGAATAAGTAAATTCCGTACATTCTTCACATAAAAAAAATATTTTCGTCAAGTGTTCCAAACGTGAAACATGGATTTTCGTCTTTTTTTTGTATTAACAAAAAAAAAAAAAATAAACGAAAATTCATGTAAATCGAGAATATCGAACATGGTCGAAATTCAAATTCTTATCAAACACATTATTATCTTGAAATGGATCTAGTTTTGAATTTTTTTTTCATTTTTTTTTGGAATTGTGATTGATATTCATTTGAACAGAGGTAAAAAAGAGAGAGAGAAACACTTACATCCAGTCCACATTCATTGACATATTCAAGTGTAAAAATATTGATTGGCCCTTGTGAATGATACCAGCCAGAGAATATCGGTATAAATGAAATGGCAGCCGAACAAAGCCATATGATTAGTATACAACAGAAAAGGCGACGTTTTGAAATCAATGAACGATAACGTAATGGACGTGTAATGGCCCAGAATCTAGAATATAGAATAAGAAAAGAAAAAAATTGTCCGTAAGGCAAAGAATCCAATGATGAGAGAGAGAGAGAGAGAGAAAAAATAAATCATTGACACATTTTTTTATTATTATTATGATTAATATATATATGGCCATAATGAATAAATCATAAAAATCAATGGAAACGGAAATTGATTTTGGTGAATTTTTGTTGTTGTTGTTGTTTTTTCATAAATAAAATTGCTGGAAAAATTTTTTTTTTTTCCGGCAAGTTTCTAGTGCACTATGTGTGTATGGAGTTATTATTATTATTATATGGAATGGAAACAAAACTTTCACTACTTACCTATCGATGGCAACACAACATAAATGTAATATACTAGCCGTACAGCACATTACATCGCATGATATCCAAAAATGACATAATACCGGTCCCCAAGGCCAATAACGATATAGATCATATACAACAGTGAATGGCATTACCAAACTGGCAACGGTTATATCAGCAATGGCTAAACTATTTTTATTATCATCATCATCATCATAGTTATTATTATTTTACGAGAAAAATAAAGAAAAGAAAAAAAAACATAATAAAAATAGTGAGATTAGTAATGTGAACAAAGAAAATGAATTTTTTTTTTCGTATGAATTATAATAACGACAACAACAACAACAACAAAAACAAATATGGAATGAACAAGAATATTGCTGCTGCTGCTACTAGTGATGCTATTGTAAAGACAAAAGCTTAGGAATTTGGTGAAAAAGACAAAACAAAACTAAAACAAAAAATAATAATGAAACAAAACACAATTAATCATCACTGTTAATAATAATAATCATGAGATGAAAACAAAAAACGAAATTCAGAAAAGTAGTTGTTGTTGATGATGATGATGATGATCGTAGAATTGTGAATCGATAGAATCGGAAATGAGATGGAATTTCCAATGAAATTTTTTTTTATTGAATCAAATTGAATTGAAATTTCGTCAAACAACAACAACAACAACAAAATAATAATTGAAAATGCCGGCATTTTATTCAATTATCGGCAATAATTTTTTTGTAGGCGAAAAAAACCACCACCACGTATGCACGTAAATTGTCAAAATTCATGAATAAAAAACAAAACAAAACAGAGAAAAAAATAATAATCAATAGTTTTTGCCCTAGAGCTAACACAAGAAAAATAACATTTTTATTGATCAATTTGAATAACACAAACAAACAAACAAACAAACAAACAGCCAATTTGATTATTATAAATATGGAATTGTTTTTCACTTTTCCACTGGATAATTGGAATCTAATTTAGAATGTCAATATTTACTAATTTTCATCATTTCAGGTAGGCTAAAAAAAGAAAAACCAACTTACAGAATATTCTGCGAGGAGAAACAACAACAACAACAACAGCAACAATATCGCTGGGGTTCATGGCCATAATGATAATAATGATTTAGTGTTACAAAAAAAACTGAAAAGTTCAAAAAAAAAGGAAAATCCAAACTTTTCAAATCGGCCAACTTTTCATGTCATGATATTCCCTGTAGGATGAAATATTCTTGCCAAGAAAAAAAAAACATAACTAAATCCCATCATCATCACGATAATCGTACAAATATTCCCCAAAGAGTTAACCCGGACAATCTAGCATTTTTTTTTCGTTCATTGCCCATTTTGATTTAATTTATTTCAATGACAAATGCTCAAAAAAAAAAATTTTTGTTTTGGATTTTTTTCTACAAAATAAATCAAATGATGATCATCCACTTTTCAACACATGACATAACATTTCAAGTTGCTGTTTTACAAAAAAAAAAAAAAAAAAACAAAACAAATGTGTTTGACAAATTCAATCAAATCAAATAAAAAAGGGTTACATTTATGTGTGTGTGTCAAGATGGAAAACAATTTTTCAAATTTTTCATTTAAAACATGAAAATTCAAATTTGTTTGTTTTATTTTTCTCTCTCTGTGTGTGTGTGACGTTTTGGATCATCCAAATGAAATTGTCATCATCATCATCAGCCGAGATGAAACAAAAAATTGCATTTAGCAAATTGAAATTTTACAACAACAACAAAAACATTGAAAACAAAATTGAATCCAGCAGATTACCTATACACACTACTAGATGTTTCCGGACAGAACTAAAACGAAAAAAAAAAAACGGAAATTGCAAGTCACAAACACAATGATGACAAATATGACAAACATAATATGAAATGTAAACCGAAAAAAAATGAAATAAAATGAAATAAATAAGAAAAGAATTCTTTCACACCTTTAAATATCACATAAAAAAAACACAAAGAGTGAGTTTAAAAGAGAGAGAGAGAGAAAAAAAAACGGTAATTCCCATGTCATCATCATCATCATCATCATTGTATACTTGCGACACCAACAAAACGAAAATTTCAATGTAAATATTTGACTTTCTTTATACGGTGACAAAATATTCTCTTTTTGTCCAAAAAAAAAAAAAAAAAAAAAATTAGCCGCATACAGAGCGACCACCATCACCATCACCACTATTTTATTCTGGGGTAATATGGAAATTGAAAATCAAATAATAACCAACCAGCAAACCAACCAACCAACCAACCAAACTAACCAACCGATTCTTTTGTTATCGGGTGCGCTCAATTTTTTTTTCACTGAATAATATCGATGATGAATGAATAATATTCATGAAGCAAAAAAATGATGATGATGAAGAAAAATATTCATTTTCTTCATTTCATTTCATTCATTCATTCATTCATTCATTTTATTATTATTCCGGCTGTAGGCGTATGAAAATGAATGAATGAATGAATGAATCATCAACAACATCATCATTTAGAATTTTTTTTTTTCATTCAAATTCTTGAATTTGCATGAAAAATGTAGAAAAATTTCTCATGAAAAACAACATCTACTACTGCTGCCACAATAACAATAAAATAACAAGCTATTAATACATAACAAATGAATCTGTCATCATCAACATCGACATGATAATTTATTTTCCCAACATAAATTCTCAGGTAAATTTGGTAAATAAAAAAAAAACTAACCAAAACGAAGAAATTTATTTCATTTTTGACAACTTCAACTTGTGTGTGTGTGTGTGTGTGTGTGTGGGTGCAAGCCAGAATAAAATTTACACAACTAGAGAATTTTTTTCTCCAAACGATGATGGTGGAAATCTGAATTTTTTCTGCTATTGAAATGAAATTAATTCCCACATTGTTTCACTCCAGTTAGAAAACAAACATGAAATGAAGAGAAAATTGCAATTCTCATCATCATGATGATGATAATCAAATTCATTCTACACACACGAAATAAAATTCTTTTCTCAACATCTTATTCATCATCTGAATAGAGAAAAATTTTTTCCATTCACCCGCTTTTATTCTGGTGAAAAAAATGAATAAAAATTATTCCATCTTTATCAAGAAGAATTCACTCACATATACCAAGTGGAGTAAGAAAAAAAAAACGTGATCTGTCAACCTGAAATTGCCTAGTTTAGTAGTCTAGTTCTCACAGTGTGTGTGTGTGTGTGTGTGTGTGTTCCATATTCATGATGTATATGAGAGAAAAAAAAAAAATTCTCATTCAGGTATTCTGTGAGAAGAAAAAAGAATGTTTCTCATTTCATCAAAACCATCCTATTCTTTATCATCATCACCATGATGAACCATATGGCCGTTGTTCACACCCACGCTGAATTCTGATGAAAAAAAAGCAATTCTACCGTAGTAGAGCACAAGATATGTAAGATTTTCGGTAGTTCAAGAAATTTTTTTTTAAATTGAATTTCAATTTTGAAAAAATTTTCCCTATTCACTCATTCAGTGTAGAACAAGCTCAGCAACGATTTTGAATTAAGCCAAGCTAGTGAAGCGTAAATATTTTCTATTTCCAATTGAGAAAAAAAAAAGAAAAACCAAACCAAACCAACCGAACGACCGATCTAAAAGATCTGATGACAATCATCATCATCATCATCATCATCATCGGGCATAGTTTGAGCAATGAAGTTTTTTTTGAAAATGAATTATTCATCGCTCAAATAAACATTGGGCCCGATTCCAATGATAATCAGAATAAAACGAGAGAGAGAGAAGGAAAAAAACGGGATTTGAATTTGAATTTTTCATTAACCAAAAAAAAATTCCAAGAACAAAAAAAAATCGTTCTAAAATGATGAATTTGAATCCAACTGTGGATTTGATTTAAATTCAAATAATGGTGAGAGATAGAATGTGCGAGATTCTGCATTTTTTTCTGTTTTGTTTCTCCTAATTCTATTGTTTTGTTTATTTGAATTAATTACAACTGAAACTTTTGAATCAACAAACAAACAAACAAACAAAAAAAAAAAACTAAACACAACTTGAACAGTGTTAAGTGGGACTAAATGGAAACTAAACAGCCAGAAAAAAAGAATCAACAAACAAACAAACAAACAAAAAAAACTAAACACAACTTGAACAGTGTTAAGTGGGACTAAATGGAAACTAAACAGCCAGAAAAAAAGTATACAGGATATGAAGAGAGTGGTGGGTTCTCTTTCCATTTTCAATTTCGTTTTGTAATTCTTTGGATCGATTCTCGAAACAAAACAAAAAAAACAAAACAAAAACGGAGAATTTAGAACAAACAAAACACAACTGCTGTACGATTGGCCTTTTTTCACAATGACGAGCACACGGCCAAAAATGGAGATTATTATCATTAAAAAAAATTTCGGTGTTTCGGTGTTTGGAGAAAAAAGCAAAAAAAAAGTTTGGATTGTTATCATCATCATCATTATCGAAAAAGTGCTTAATTTTTTTTTGAAATGAAAAACTTTTTTTTTCTGGAATTAGTAAAGCGGAAAAAATGGTCATCAAAAAAAAATCTTCAAAAATAAAACTGGACAATGAAATTTCAATCAATTTTTTTTTTTCAAATCCAATTTAGTTTTTGTGTGTGGATACGACATTTACGGCCCGGGCACCGGAAACATGAAAATTGAGAATATGGTATTTTTTTTTGTTTTCACACTTGATCCAACCACATCTATCTAGCAGAAATCCGGAAAAAAGAATTGAATAAAATTTCAAACAAAAAAAAAAAATGCTGAGCTGGTTTGTTTTTCATGTTTTATATTCTTGTAATCTGAGATATTGTTTGCGAGTGGATATATTTGATATATATACCAAATCAACACACAAACAAAGCCATGATTTACATGATAAACAGATTGTAACTGGCTATATGAACGGGCCATTGGATATTGGAAAAATAAAATTTTTCAATTTTCAAAACAAAAAATTCTTTGTTCTGTTTGGAGGGAGAAAAAGCTAATCGATTATTTATTCAACTGAAACCAATTCATTTGTATTGTGGATAATTGATAAAAATTGACATTTTGAAAAAATTGAATTTGACAATAATCGATCCACTTAAAATTGTTGTTGTTGTTTTGATTAACCAATTGCTGTCAACAAATGTGAGATAAAATGAAACAAA